GACCATAGCGGATCTCCAACATAAATCAGTGCGGTGCCCGACGGGTGACTACTTGATTACAGCAAATTGGTCTAGCTATGGCGCATGCCCTCAGTCGAGTCAAGCGAGAGCAACTTCGCAAGCGCCGCAACAATCTTTTACGACGCCATAACGAATTTTGGCTTCTCTATGGAATGAAAAGCTGGCTCATCATGGAACTGCCTGATGGCCAGATCTTCACGTACCACTCTCATCCCGATGTCCTTCCACCTTCCAAGGAAGACATGGTAAGATCATAATCACATGAGGATTTTGTATTTGACCGCTGATTGGTGAAAGAACACACGTTCCAAGCCCGCTGTCGTTCGGACACCTCGCGATTACAGTTCCACCATTGATCAGTCGGCCGGCAAAGTCCTCCCTGTCCAATGTGCACCAATACGTGAAACCAAAAGATGGAAAGCTCTGGCGCAGCACTTGGATTATGGTCGTCGCATGGCCTCGTAGTAATATCCATCCTTTATTGCGGAGGGGCATAGGGGATTATAGCTCATTTCGGGGAATATCAGAACGGGCATATTCATCAGACCCACGGAACTCCGCTAAACAAAATGAAATTTTGCTATTATCGGCCCTTTTGCTTCATTTCTTAGCACTCTGCTATTTGCTGTACATTGAGTCTGTGGGTATAGTATTAAACGAGGACGGATGTGCAATCCTCCGTCACTGACCGCCCCTGTATGATGAACATCAAAGACCAACTACTAACCTCCTGACGGTACATGTAACTTACTAAAAAGCTATAGCTAGCTATATTGGAATGCGGTCGTGACGATGCCGACTACTACGAGCAAAGCCAATTGAGTACGTATAATTGCAGTCTAGTTACTATACTGTAGCTGCGGATTTAATACAGATTCAGAGCCTTGTCAGGTTAACGATAGCTTGACAATCACACGGCCGTGTTGGAGCACCTAAATAGTCCTGCACCTCATACAGAGTAGCTGTACTTTTCGGGAAACATCCGGGTCTGGGATAGTCTAGCCGGGAATAAAAAAGGGTTCCTAAAAAATTCTCTTTTTTCCTCAAATCCTCTCTGATTGGGTAACAGGTAAAGTTTCCGCCTCACAGATGTGAGCAGCCAGAAAATGCCGATTCCAACCAGGATAGAGATAGAGAGGGGGATTAAGATAATCAGAACACCCATCCAATTTATCCGAGGGACAATTTGAATGAACATGCTGATGATGAAAAAGTAAACACAACGTAAAAACGAACTTCGATCAGGCTGAGATAGTAGGGAGTTCGCAATGCAGAAGAGGCTTGAGAGCGCCGCTACATCGGCTTTGGCAAGCGAAGGCAGCATGGTCAATGACAAGTTAGATGCTGCTCCGAGAGGGGATTTGGTGATAAATCTTGCTGTATTTGAGCAAGAAGATTCGGTGAACTATTTTTCATTCTTCATATCGCCGTCCACCGTCCGCAGCATTGCCCCACTCACACCTGGGCCCACTCACAGTGCCGTGTAACATATGCTTTGACCTCAAGAAAAGTCCAATATGCAATATGCCTTATTAGGCCTTCGACATGCGGACGTGTTCGATTTGAACTTACATGCGTTTATTAACTCGTTTTTTAAACCCACCCACATCCATTGCTCTGATCTATTCACGGGGTAGTATAACGAAGTGGCTTGCATTGCATGTTAACATCGTATAGTTACAATCCTTATCGGCATGGATTAGTATATGAGCTGCCAATAGATAAACATAAAATCCAACTATCCAGTAATGGAACCGTGGTAGAGTTACCGCATGTAAACAATGAGAGGCGAGTTGACTTGGCTGTCTGCTATGATGGATTGAGAAATTATTTGACTCTTTCCGATAGCCCCTTCATTTGCTGTGCTCTAAAATTTGCCACTGGTCATGTTTCTTCACAGATACCTCAATTTTCCGCCCTTGCATAGAGTCAGCCATGTTCCGTATCTCCCTCATTCTGAAAGAATGCCACATAGGAATATAAGTCTTCATGTTACAGAATCTCATTCTTAAATAGGTCGCAAAGCACAATACCAACAAATAGCTCTGCCTGATCATTAATGATAAGGTCTAAAACTGCACATCGTTCGCTCTCGACCATCTTTGATTTTATTGTCCCTCTATCATATGCTCCCAAGAAGAAAAACCACCTTTTTAGCCACATTATCGTTGATATTTCGAGAAAATACCTAACGATACCGATGCCCAATAGAGGTGACAAGGAGGAATTTATTGATTTCACTGGACAGGATGGCACGGATGGCTTCGAAAATGCCGCACATAGCGACAGGGCTCTCAAAATTGTCGAGGGGATGACAGTCGGTACTGTAACTTAGAACGCATTTTCCGTTTTATCTCAGATATTGCTATCCTAAGCACCCTACATGTTGGGCATCAAATTCATGCCTGACTTGAAATTCCCAGCCCGGTAACCCCTCCCCCAAGACCACAGGGAAGGATCTTTCAGTCTCCACTGGCATAAGCACCCCCCGCTCCGCTTTTCGTGACGGATTATATGCCAATTTAATTTGAGTTGGTATGGCTGTTTACAGTTTCCAGGGTATATTTAGACATTAAAGGATCTAGATTGGTGATCGATATCAAAAAAACTCAAGGTTTTGTAGACGTAAAATCGGATAGTCGTGAATATTTTATTCTACATGCATGGCTGATGCTAGCTACAACCTCCAGTATCAGGAGGGTCAAAGAGCAGAACGCCGAATTGCGACGATTTCAACTTCACAACCTCTCCAACTTTCAATCCCACCAGCTTGGATACAATGATGGATGTAGATGTTTTAACGGATTGGGTTTCAGCCTACCATCACTTGGTGTACCACCGAGACAATTGTCAAAGTTCCGCCGTAACAGACCTTTCAGTCCCTTTCTAGCAGCAACAACACTCAATATTTCGCTACATGAAACAGATTTGAAGAACATATCTCAAATAAGAGTGCATTTGAAAGAATGGCTACATTAGGTACACAACCAGACTCGTCGCCTTTTCCCAATAATTTTGAGTCCTCCAATATCTCCATCATCAGTCTCATCCATCTCGAATTCATCCGAACTTGGACACACAGTCAAAAGCCATTTATGCCCGGCTTCTTCAGCGGCAGTGGGTAAAAGGCTTTTATAGCGCTTTCGATAATTTTCCGTCACATGTTCTTGCCCAACAAAGTAGAGCCATTGGGTCCACCGCTCCTCTAAAGTGATAGGACAACAGGGGGTTTTGAACAAGCTCAGGATAGACTTCGCATCTTCCAAGTCCAAGTGATCCAGATAGAGAATGACCTTAACGTGCTTATAGCTTCTATACCCGCATACGATCGTGCGAACGAGAGCTTGAAGACTAGCGTGTCTGTTTCTGTGGAAGGAGCTAGCCCTGTGGGCCCAACCAGCTAAGCCACATGCAATGGCAACGGGTAATGAAGCACATAAACCTGCCAAAAGAAACAATGCTGGGTTCTTCACGGAAGGGAAGATGCCGTTGTGCACCCTTGGCAATAGGGCCAAAAGGGTCACTAGGTTCGGTATCAAAAATGACCGTAATTTCTCGTGCTAAGTCAAGCAGCAGAGGATACACATCTAGAGAGTGGAGAATTCTAGGCACCGACGCAGACACTTCACTGAGTGGGCCGTATTTGGGAATCTCGAGGTGGAGACATACTGTGGAATTCTGACAGATAACGGACAGCGCTTCCTGGCGAACCTGCTTATTCACTAAAGTAAGGCTGAACGATATGGGGAATTGGTATCGAAGACCAGCGGCGCTGAGGACGAAGTCATGCGGTTCTATCTCAAATCCTGTCCAGTACCCGCCAGGTGGTTTTGGTATAGCGCGGTTAATCCTAACTGTAAATCCGATTATGTGTCTTCGAAGCTCGAAGGGCAAGCTGAGGAAACGAAATGGACTGATTTCGGAAGTTGAAACCTCTGCAAGCAAGTCAACTGGCTTACTTAATGAAAATATCCATACTACCAACCTGAAAGCGAGGCCATGAGGCTTAGAAGAATAGCTGTGCTGGATGTGATTGTAGTATTTTATAAACTGACATAGAAGTGTAAATGAAGAATTTATTCCAATACATGGACGTTTGGCAACGTCAAAGCAACGCTCAATCAAGTTTGTCGACTAGGTTCTTTTTCGAATATTTACAACAGCCTTATTCGTGCCAATGGGGAATGTGGAACGCTGAGGTGGGGCGATGGCGGGGGTATGGTGGGAATTGAAAGCAATACAGCTATCAGATTCATGAATGCCATGGAGTGGGAATGGCCAATAGCGAACTACGAAGAAATACAGTAATTGATATGCGGTCATGAAAATGCGACATGGGTAGACCTCGCCGCGGCCCACCGAGGAAGGGGCCCATGCCACCCACATACAGCCCATCATGTTATGTAAGTTTCCTAAATAGGGAGTTCTGTCAAGTATAGTGCACCGCATCTTTACTAGTGCGCTTGGAGATATTCAGCTATCATGTATGTCTGATTTGTGCCTGTGTTTGTGAGGCTTAGTAAGCCCCAAACCCCTTTTTATTCTGCACCTACTATAGTATTAAGAATCACACTCAAGTACTTTGCTGTACTAGTCCGTACTGTCCCACTCGGAAGTCGACACTAACCCTAATGAATGACTAGTGCGTATCAGGATGACATAACAATACCATCAAAACAGGTCCTCCAACAAGCATATCTCATCGCGACCCTCCTTTCTCTTTCCTCTTGCCATCCTCCTGCTCATCAATACAATTCATTGCGTATTGATCTCTTGTTTCTGTCTGCTTGGTTTTTAGTCTAAACTAGGTATGGCTGAGCAATCTAAGCGTCCACAAAATGATTGATACTATATTAATAGCCATGCCATTAAGCAGGATAAGATGAAACTAGGTGGATATGGCAAGATCTACATTCCTAACACAAGATGGAGGAAAGAATACGAGAAAGTGGGAGATAGAAGAACAACCAACTAACTAGTTAAGCATCGTGCATTGAATCCACGCCAAAGAAGCAAGAGCAGTAATCACAAAGAACATGTAATGATATTTGTGGTTCCTTCTCTGACCTCTAACCGGATTGAACTTTTTAAAAATAAGCCAAGAACCATATATTCGTACTTCATCTGGATCTTACCTCATATTTCCAATCTTCCATCCCATCCATGTGCGTAGAGTACCACATAGTGAATGAATCCCAAGGATAGATAAACCAGTTTTTCCCAGTTTTCTGATCAATATACCACTATCGGGGAAGTTGTCAGTGATCTTAAATTATCACCCCAGTTGTCGACCTACGCTTCCACATTTTCCAGTATACACGGTTTTATCCAGAGCATCTACGATATGTTCATGGAAAGACCTCTCACTAGAAGGTTTGATCTCAACAGACCTGGCATGACCATTGATGACATGCTTGATAGCTCGTATAACCAAGTGAACGAAGCTAGACTAGCATTAGTTTATGCCATCAAGACTCAGAAAATAATCACACGATGGTAACAATATCATACCTCTCCGCAGCAAAAATGGTCGATGTATGGCCTCGCCCGGAATGTGGCCCTAATACGTAGAAGAAATTTGGAAAATTCGCCATTGCCACCGTTTTAAAGGCTGATTTGCTTCCAAATTGCTTCCAATGATCTTCTCGCGAGAGACCATTCCGCCCAAAGAGCTTGACATCAAACTGAGCAGTTTTAAATCCCGTTGCCAAAACCTATTCAGATCTCGATTAGAATTGGAGAAACCACAATAACAGAATATGCAACACCTACGATTATATCGGCATTGTATGTCCTGCCTGATCCTGTCAGCACCGAATGAGGTTGGAGAGCTACAATCGGGTCTGCTGTTAAGTGGACGTTGGATTTTTGAAGACATGGGATGTATCTATCGTTGTCAAATACCCGTCGCTTAAGTAAGACCTTAGACTCTCTTCTATTAGAAATGATGAACCAGGACTTCGAATCTTACCTTACAGCCCAAATCATAGGCAGGGATAAGGAGTGACCAATATTCCTCTAGAAAGGGTTATATATCGAATTAGTAAAATGACAAAATGTGGAGCGACAAGTGAAATCTAGGGCAAATTATTACCCGGTGCATTGGTCTTGACATATTGCCGGCTTATTTCCGATGCCTTGTTTCTGAGCGATTCCCCTTTGGCTGTGATGTTGAACTGGGGGCCGGACGTTTCAAGGTAGGCAAAAACCGCCGTCCGTATGAGCCATAAAAGTGAGGGTATATACTGAAAGACCCTCCTGAGAAACACGCTGATGGCCATATTCTCGCTCGGCATGTAGTGCTGCGGTGTCTGTATCATGGGATTCGGATCAGCAAAATCTACCTATAGTCGACGTAATTGAGTTATTGACTAACTCGCATAAATTGGGTAATTGTCTTGGCTTCGTTGACAACGGATGGAATGAGTTGGGAAGCGGATGCTATCAGATATCGAGATATTAGCCTCCTGAATTTTGAGACAGATTGGCCGCGTCCTACATCCGTTGCCGATGACCACGACATCTTTGTCACGAACGCAGACATCGTGATTCCACTGGGCTGTATGGATAATTTGTCCCTGGAAGACGTCTGCATCCTTAACCTTTATCACATTTGGGATAGATAAACCCCCCACAGCTGATATGAGTATCTTGCACTCTTGATCGAAGCACACCCCTGTTGATAAATCTCGCAACTGGACTTTCCAAGTACTTGTTTCTTCGATCCAGCAACCCTGTACCCATTGAATATGGCATGAAATATGACGAGACACGTCATATTGCGCTGCAACTTGGTTAAAATATTTCAATATCTCGTCTTGTTTTGGAAACACCTTCGAAAAGTGAGGATTCGGAGCAAAAGAGAGACTATAGAAGACGGCTGGAATGTCCACTCCGCACCCCGGGTCTTGAGTATTCGTTAGTATCAAAGATGTGGAAAGAATTCATGACTCTTACACTGGTTTGACCACCATGTTCCCCCGGGCTTGGGTATCTGGTCATAAATTACCAAATCTTGGCAATTGAGCTGCTTTTTTAGTTGACATGCCATTGCTAATCCAGAAAAGCCAGCTCCAATGACCATGACTTGAACAAATGGCCTGCTCGTCTTTCTGCTAGTGGACATTTTGCTTGGATAAATTTATGTTGAAAAGGAGTATGACTTGCTTCGCAAGGCAGAAAGACACTTGCGGGATGTCTTCTAAGCTGAATATTAATATCTCGTCCCAAAGGCCGACGACTAAAAGAAATAAATTTCCAGTCAGACCCATGATACAGGAGTATACTCCAATATTGAATCACTTTCGCATGTGACTGTAGTTGGGCATACTAGATTTAGAAACTCGCATTTGCCATCCAAATTTGTCCGCAGCTGGGTCAACAGGGTAGCCACAACCAATTTTTCCAAAGCCGAGTTTGCCGCTTAGTTTGTGCCATATATTGATAATAGTTAGTCTCCGGCTCAGGAAGGTGGTGTGAAGAAGCTGCTGCATCAGGCAGGAGGGTGGGGATTACTGGAACTGCAGGCTGTGTGAAGGTCTGAGTGGGCGGACATAGGCGAGTCACCAAAGCAGCATCATGCATTCTCCGACATGCCCAAAGAGGCACTCTACTACTGATTCAAACCATGGAGCAAGGATGGTCAGGATTATTTATTTCACGAAATTCCAAGGATGAGTGCTATAAAGAAAAGGTCATTTTGAACGTATTGCCCTCAGCAAAGAGCAGTGTTGAAAAACAGATATTGTATTGTTTGATACACAATTTTGAAATCTCAGCATGATTTGCAATATCAAAATTTCAGACATTTCAGCGGTAGCGGGCCTCTGTGGCCTCTTTTCGATCTTCACCCTCCCACAAGCTGATACAGCCAACGGTCTGGAGTATTATTGCCACTTCGCGATGGCCACCCTGATTTATCAATTCTTTCAAACTCGATGGGTGATTGTGCTACCTACCACCGTTCTCCTTCTCGTCGGGGCAGTCACAACCATTGGCTTAACTTGGTTACTTCAAGCGGCTTTTTTTCAACGAAAGTTACTCCTCGACGAAAGACTGAGCGCTCTAAATGAAGACAAAGAATTCATTGGGAAACCCTTACTTTTCCCAACCAAGCTTTCTCACTCGCGCATGTTTCCCGAAAGGTACAACTATACCTATGATTACTTTCTCGTTGGCATCCCTGTCAGCCTTCGTGGCAGAGTGGGCTCGATCTTGTCAATTGACACCGCACAGCCTGCGCCGGATGACCCAAACAAGTCCACCAGATCCACCAAGTGCTGGTTCAAGGTTGATCAACGCCACTATCTGGAGCCTGGAAACAGTACATTGGGGCTACAGGGCAAGTTGAAGCGTCACCTTTTGTCTCGGGTAAGTAAATACACACCGGACGCAGATCCCACTCTTACCAATTCTAGGGCGAGAACCCTCAGCAATGGCCGTACGCCTACATGATCAGCATACCCAAGTTTCTTTGGTTCACCCGGAATGCAGTATCATGGTGGCTGCTGTACAACCCGTCACGGGAGCTCGACGCGATGGTGATGGAAGTCAATAATTCCTTTGGCGAACGAAAGGCTGCCTTCTTCCGGCTCAATGCAGGTAGTGCTGGCACAGATGCCAACCATACTGCTGAGATCATGGACTCGGTTCCCTTTCAGACCTGCAGTGGTCTGCAACATGCCAAATTTGTTGCGTCGGCTTCCCAATTTAAGATGTACAAAGGAAACTGGGACAAGGATTTCTTCCTTTCCCCCTTCGAGAAAGTAGAAGGATATTTTACGACTACGTGCAGTGACCCCTGCAATCCCTTTTCAGGGACTAAAGGGCCCCTGCATAGTAACACAACACTTTATGCGCCTGATGGCCGGCCCAAGATTATTAGCCGTCTGTTCTCTTGTGGCGAGCCACTAGATCCACTGCGCGCAACACCATGGCAGCTGATGCGATTTATCTGTCGGTGGGGCTACATTGGTGCGCTTTCAAAGCAGCGTATCATCTATGAGGCCCTTCGTGTCCGCTTTCGTGGAAATCTCACCTATCTCCGCAAGCCAGAAGTGAAGAATTCGAATATTCCACGAGAGGAAACGGCTCTGGAACGGCAAGTGTTGCAATAGTCTCCAAGACAACATCATCTAACTGCTTTCTCTCCAGGTCGCTGGAAAAGTTCTTCCGTCTTTTCCTTGTTCATGTCGTCGCCCATTATCCAAAACCTTTGAAGGTCATCTATGAGCCATCGAAGTCTCACTGGCTGTTTGCTGAGACTTTCCATTCCCCTTCCTCTCAGCTTGACCTCCAGAAATCGCTTCCTGAGTTGGAGCTTACCGTTCGTGTTTTAAGCCCGGCCTTTTACACCAATGTCCTTCAATACGAGGACCCAGCCGCAGGTCTGGATAAGGAGCTTACGCCCTTGCCACTGGTTGCAGATTCAAACTCCCAGTACATATGGACGTCTGACACCAGCCCGTTAAAGCAGATATGTTCGTCCAAGGATGTATGGCCTGAAACTACCCCTACTCCTAAATCACGGTTGCATCGAGTCCGAGAGGCTCTGATACACCTTTCTCGCAATTCCTCGACGCCAACATTCATGGACAGGTTTGTCAACGGTTATCTAGATCCAGCGCAACAAAAGGCATACCAGGTAGCAGTTGCTAGATACCTTCTAGCAGAGCGCTACACGTTCGGTTCCCATCTGTTGCTGCGTCTGTGCGAGAATATGGCGATTATCTTTGGCATGTGGGTGTTAATCTATATTGGTGGTCATGTTCTTCATTCTTACGGCTCTATCCCGGTGGAGAGGGTCCAAATAGCCACTGGAGTCTGTGCGGTTCTGTTTGGAGGGGCTGTTCGCTTCAGAAACGCTCTGTAGGGTGCTTGATACGGGACAATACACTATTATTCCATACCAATCGTCCATCTAGTAAATTTCCTCATATAGATGAACCATCCATCGGATAAGTCGCGTATGTTCTTTGGCACCGGGTGTTGAATCGATACTTCGGGATTGGTCGTCAGGCAGCCAACTTACGTCGGGGTCAGAAATATGGGTGGGGTGCCCTTCGATTTATTGGCAAGGGCAAATAGCTTCCCCAGCCTAAAAAAAAAAGCTGCAGCTTGACGCGATGGGGCGGATTGTCTACATAAGCAATCGTCACACAACATACTAACTAGTACCGTTACGGCCCGGACCTTGTGGCACAGACTACCCGTTATCCGAAATGCGCCTCTCAGGCAACGACAGAGCGCCCTGTCCCCCCACTCATCCACATTCTCACCCACGCTCACTCACGGCTTTACCCACTTTCTTGGCGTGCGTTCATATCGCCACCTCATATGCCGCATCATGTGTCTTTCATCCCGAGTGCCGATCTCATGGGTATCAATCACAACCATGTGGGAGGGTCTCAAAGCGCCAACCAACAATCCCGTTCATGGAAAAGGGAGCCTCAACCCATACCCTCCACATCCAACCTCACCATGGATATTTTTGCTGCGCTGAAATAGGTTTCGGGCATATTTACGCTCTAGAAAAGGAAATGATCTCATCCGAGGGATTCCGAAGCATACCCACTATTTGACACCATGTCTTTGGATGACTCTAGCTCACCACACCATTTCAAAGCGAATAATGCCAAAACAATCACTCCCATGTGATTAATGCGTTCGATGACATCTTCTCGGAAACGGCACCAATTTGTCAAAGATAATGTTGTTGTCAATTTTAGGCATGATGCTGCTGCTAGTTTGGGTGAACTGCAGGATGGGTGTGAGAAGGGAGTGCGCATCATAACGAAATCAGCACCGCAAGTGATATCATGAGTGTGGAGTGTTGAAGATACCACAACACTACTTCCAAAGCAAAAAATAAACCGAGGATGGCCTTGTTCACAAGAAAGCAGACCTACAAATGGCAGCGCATCTCAGTCTTGGTTATCCATTCATCGCAATTACCTTGGATTTCTTGTTCCTTTCCACGAACCTATTTCTCCAAAAAGAAAAAGAGAGAAAGAGACCAAACAAACAAACATTCTTGACAATGGCTGAACCTCAACTGAAGGTAGGAACTCTAGTTCCACCGGGACTAAATTCAGAGCATTGGCAAGATCTGACCTAAAGCAACTTGATAGGAAAAGGGAGATTTTCCTGAACCAAGGCTCGACACTCTCAGAGCTGCAATTCCCCCGGCCTGTTTTCAACCTGCACTGTCTACATCAATGTTGTATCTGCTCCGCGACGTGCTCTACTGTAGCCTTCTGGTATTCTTTGCCATACATATTGACACAATTCCCTGGGCATGGGCTCGATACCCAGCCTGGATGTGCTATGGCTTTTATCAGGGCTGCGTCGGCGTGGGCTTCTGGATCTTAGCGCATGAATGTGGACACGGCGCATTCTCTCTCTTTCCTCAAGTGAACGATCTTATAGGCTTTACGCTCCACTCAGCCCTTCTAGTGCCATACTTCTCCTGGAAGACCACCCATGCTCGCCATCATCGCTATACTAGCCATATGGGGAAGGATACTGCTTTTGTGCCTTTCACAGAGGAGGAATATGAAAATTCCTTCCATTTCCCCTTCCTATATCGCATAGTCATTCAGTCTGCTGAAGATGCACCTGTGGTGGCGCTATTTCAATTATTGCTACACCAGCTGTTTGGTTGGCCGATGTATCTTCTTTTCAATGTCAGTGCTGGAGTGGACAGTTTACCCGCCCGAGACACCAGGCTGTCCAACGACAAGAGCCATTTCAATCCTTTCGGGGCCCTGTTCACTCCATTTCAGAGGTTCTATGTCCTACTCTCTGATCTGGGCTTGATCGCCACTGGGTGCATGCTGACTGGGCTGTGTATGAGATTCGGTCTACGGCAGATTCTTTTGTTGTACTTTCTACCATATCTCTGGGTCAATCACTGGATCAGTAAGCAACTATCATCGAGAGTTTCCGTTTTGAACGTCAGGTTAGATCTAACTTATGTACTCGCCTAGTTTCGATTACTTATCTCCATCATACCCATCCGTCACTGCCGCATTACGGAGACAAAAATTGGACTTTTACAAAGGGGGCCCTGTCTACCATAGATCGCACAACGGGGTTTCTCGGTCGCCATCTGTTTCACGACATCATCGATTTTCACGTTGTTCATCATCTATTCCCGAAGATTCCGTTTTATCGAGCCGAGGAGGCAACTCGGGCGATTCAGCCTCTTCTTGGTCGACATTATAACGAGCAAAAAGCTACATCGTTTACATGGTCTTTATACTCCACGTTCCGTGTCTGCAAATTTGTGTCGTCTCGGCTTCATACGAGCTCAGGTGATGCTCAGGAGGTTTTCAGATGGAATACTGGCAAAGCGACTTAACAGTCAGTAGATGTTTGCTATTTCCGTTAATTTTAGATTTCTGGATGCGCTATTTTTGCCCAGAGTAGGCTAATGAAGAAAGAAAGGATGAAAATATAAAGCATTGTATTGCTAGAGGATGGAGGAAGGAATAATACAAGGGGAGAGGAAACGATACACAGTAAACTCCAGTGTCTGACACACCCTTCCGTACTTCCAAATTTCAGTGTCCCTAATGAGTGGTTGCACACAGCCAACTGGTCACAGTTAGGTCAGATGGGTTTAAGGTATACTTGACTTCATACTCCTCGTGTGTCCAACGTCAAGGATCTGGTCTCGCAACTGTACCAGTGCCTGGCAAGCCTTACTGCAGGATGGGCCATTTTGAGGTATTAGGAGTGGGCACGAATAACGAATATATTCGTATTCGTATTCGTAGACTGTTGAGTATTGTTGAATATCACGGTGGTCAAAGCTTGTGTGGCGAGACTAGCGATGTACATTTAAATAGATGGGTTTCCCACTTTTGATAGTAACGTCAACAAGAACACTACAACTATCTATCTCAACAAGTATCACGGTGGCTGAACCTGATGGTAGGGATTAGGAACAGATATATGAGACATCCCGCCCATTTGAAAGATAAATCCATAAGTCAATCAATTGAATCAATGAGATAATCTCTTATCTTAACACAAGCAGCCAGATGGATTTGAATTTGATAACCTGTAACATAATCTTGGATAAATGAATGCTGTTACAATAAAGCGAGACAAAGTAGGTTAGTTTGGAGAAAGGATCATAGGCTACTCATTCGCGTGACAAATACAGAATCAGTCAAACATTGAATACTCCAAAAAATACTGGGAAAATGCATAGTTTATGCAAACTCGTTCACGTCACGAGTCTTAGCATGTTTGCAATATTTGTTATTGTACGATAAGCCGCGGATATCCGCAAATGAGAATATAATTATCGTATCGTATCGTTGCGGATAATTCGATAATGGATTTATATCCGCAATTTACGGATACGAGAATCGATTGCCTGCCGATAATTTGGATAGTGCCGCAGCCTAATTCAGACAGGATGCAAGAAGGCCACATCAAAAGGTCGAACAAAAACCTGACTTTGGATTTCAGTTGGCAAAGAATGCTGCGTCATGATACTGAATGGAATGTCGATATGTAAATACCGGCATGCTAAATAGAATGACATTATTATAGCATACCAGATTACGGAATGGAATTCAACAGTTACACGAGACACGACTGTGATTGAATCAGATTGATAGCCATTTGCGTCAACTGAGTTACGACGCTTCCTTTCGGCAAATAGAATTAATTTGTGCTGCATGACGCATACAGCATTCCTAATTTTACAAGTGCTAGAAACTTATAGGAATGTAGCGTAAATGTTTGGCATACAGAGAAGAGTTATTAGCTTATGAGGTCCGCTAAAGCTCATGCTACTCACTTAACCGACATTTTAGAGCTCACTAGCTCCACAGGCGACAATGACGAGGGAAGAGCTTTATATGCTTTGCAGCCGTGACCAGATGGAGTCAGACCGGTCGGAAAAGTTCATGTCTTCATTACGTTGATCCAAAAGCTAAAATGAGAGACAGGTTGAACACACAACACTACATCCTAGCAAACTTCATGGGATATGAGGTCCTTCACCCGTCTATCAGTTTGACACGAAATAGCGCTCTTAAAGTTGCTGATGTGGCTACTGGTACAGGGTAAATGCTTTTAATCCAGATATGATGATGGTTATTGACATTCAACCTGCTAGCATTTGGCTTCAAAGGCTATCTGCCGTTCTTAGCCCCCTGCCTGGGGATCAGTCACACTACTTTCATGGCTTCGATATCTCCGATAAGCAGTTTCCAGTGGATGGAGACAGCGCGAACAAGATCAGCTTCTCTATCCATGATGCCACAGAGAGTTTTCCTGAGGAGCATTTGAATACATATGATCTGGTTCATGTTAGACTGCTCGTTCTTGCGCTACCGGAGCCAGAGATCCGGATAGCGATGGAAAACATCGTCCAGCTTTTGCGTAAGTCCAAATATCTCTGAATTCCCCATTTGCTTTCATTTCACTTGTGTTTTCCCATATACCCTTTTTTCAAGCTTCTTCTGACTAACAATACATTTCGGTCAAGGTCCTGGGGGCTATATTCAATGGGAAGATGCCGACTGGTGCCATGCAGGGGCTGATAAGGAGGCACCTACAATCATCGAAAGCATGAACATGATCATCGAGTATTCCGCCACAGCAGGATTTTGCATGCGTATTTCTGAATCTATCATGGACCAGGGCAAACGACTTGGGCTTGAGGTTCTGAAACAGGATGACTATAACATACTTGAGAGGACGGAAAATTACTCTGAAGCAAGATTATGGATCTTTCAGCTGCTTCAAGCGTTATTGCCAGTGACATTTTTGCGCACTAGGCGGGCAGAAAGCGAGTCCACAGCCCGAAGTCTAACATGTCAAACGCTTCAAAACGTCGAGTTAGAGTACACGCATGGCGTCCTTCCCAAATTTCAGACCTTCGCCATTGTCGGAAAAAGGCCAACTGATTCCTTGTGAGATCTCGCGGCTATTTTGACATTCTCACAATCACATGCCAGGCTCAGAAAATTGCCGTCTCAACATTTTTTATTGGATTCAGGTCTGTTGTCGCATGCATTTTCTGGTCACCCACCCATTGTGGGCGATGGCCTTTTGTTGTGAATTTCAGATCCCCTATGCGTTTTGAGAGTTTGTTTTAAATGATCCATTGTTCAATCAGTCAGAATCAATACAAATAGATCATTATTATTTGTTGCCCTTAAAGAATTTAAGCAAATTTAAAACGTCATGGTTTCGGTCCTGGTTTCTGGTGACGAGATGAACGATCACACGGCGGCTTAATTCCCCATTCGCAACAGCCTCATCACATACCTATGCGATTCTGACTTCTTAACGCTGGCAACCAAGGCGGCGAGAAGCACCCAATTTTCGTGCCAAGCTTTTCTCTAATTAGTTTTATCGCATTGGGTGCCCTTACGTGGCCGCTGTACTAATCGCTCGCCAACTCCCGTGACGCCTTCTCGCTAAATGGAATTATGGTAGAGGACCCATTATATTCACACCAATGGATTAAGATTGTTATAGAGTAATACTGACCCAGTTAATGAGCTTGCTGAGCAGCGCGAGTAGACTGGCCCTGTTATTGTGTCCAGTGACTTTCACCCCCATCCCCAGTATGACGAGGGAACCAAATTCAGCTGCGATACCAAGTTCTCCCTCACAGCCTTGAGCCCTGTGATTGTATAATCTTGAGCTTCCATGCAGCCTTGAGCCCTGCGTTATCAAATTTGTGCTTGTTTAGGCGGCCCGTGGCGCCGCGGTGCCAGTCCTGCTCCTCTGACGATGTGCAGGCACCTCTTCGTGGTGTCAGAGACTAGTATTCGAATTTGCAACAGCATTCGATGAAGCCAAGACCTGCCCAACATCTTCATAATCTGTTTCATGTTGCAAAGCACCATAGCATAGAAAATCAATCACCAGCTCAATCCAAGCTGGGATTTCTCGTTGGCGACCCGTATTCCCACTCTGTATGCCGTTCCGCAGTCGATGATCCGTTTGCTGCAAAGTAAAATCGCATGATTGGGGTGTAGCACACATGGCGATGTTGTGTTGTGATGCTGTTTCGGTAGGATGTTTGTTATGCCAGTGAAGTGAAAGTAGACATTTCGAGCTTGTGTGTTGACGTGTTGACGTGTTGATGTTGATGTTGATGTCGGTGTGGTGAAATGTGCAGTAATCGGGCGGTGAAGGGACTGGTGATCAACGCAAATGCAGGTTCGTCACCCTCAGCTTGTTCGAGAAAGCCACACTGGTGCGCAGGGCAACTTCGCAAGACGGAAAACGCGGGCGATGAATCTATCCGTGTTAAGATTGTACAATCATATTGGAAGACTCCGTCGTTCAGTGTGCGAAGGCGGTGAGGTTTCTCCTGAATGAACAGTTTATTAGTCACATCTTAATTGAGGCCTATTGGAACCCATCTCTACTATTTACTGCAAGTATTCGAAGCGAAATTTTTGTGTTATGCATTCGTTTTACATATGCCATTCTCAGCTCTCATATATCTTCTGGGCGTCGTTCTATGATTCATGGGCTACTAGTAAGGAGCCAAGGGCAGACGCGGATATATATCATGATGTCTTGCTAAGACTACCCATGTTGACATGAACGAAGTCAATCAGCCTCGTCAACAGTCGCAGAGATTGCCTTCATGAGTATACTATCGTCAAGTAAAATAATACCTGAAGACCCGAGTTGACCAACCTGCTACGCTCTACCTGCCGGCTATGTAGCTCTGATGCCCGATGAATGACGCAGCGCCGATATCTGCACGAGCGTTTGTAGACGACCTACATGTACACGCAACTGGCCATGCCAGTTGAGCTCATAGTCGGACTGTGACACGTGAGGCCAAGAGTATTGATTTGCGTTCTGGTCCCCACGCCGCTGCGAGGATGCGGGTCCCTAGCCGTTTAATCTTGTATGAACCATGTCTATATGTCATGTAGGTTTGATTTTGACGTACAGAAAGGCCTTATCCTACCTGAAGGCACACAAGCACATGCTCTGATTCCGTTTCAAAGCGCCCTCGAGCCGGGGGGCGGGGTCCCCCAGAGACCCCCTTTATGGGGGTCGGCGAGGAAATTTCCAATTGCCGGGGGTGCTCCCCAGGGCGACGGGCAAGATGCGCTGACCCACGGACTAGTTTGTCGCACCGCCCGTTCACATTTGCTTGGCACTGGTCAGAAAAGTGGACTCAATTTCAATTTCAGCACCAGACCTTTCAGTTTTGTCAACAATGGGAGGCCGTATTCTGGCGAAGAGGGCTGGCATAAGGGATCAAAGTATCCCGTAGTGGTTGACACGAAGGAGAGCCTTGACGTGAGTCAAAGCCACAACCATCAACGACAGCTCGTCGCACTGAGGGAGGAACGCGATAGTACTTCCCGTGTAGCATACAAGAGAGAGAAAAGCGTCCAAGCGTAACACACACTAGGATCACATAACACGGTGGGCCACGGGATACCAACGCAGAGCGGGAGGTGCACCACGGGCCGGGAACATATGCTCCATGCAAATTCGTTAGGGGAATAAGACCCGGATTCCAATGATGGAAGGGTGAGGCGAACTGATAGAGGGGCTGTTTGAGAGATGTCACAATCGACGGGCTGGCAGGGAAGTCTTGCCCGTCGCCTTGGGGGCACCCCCGGCAATTGGAAATTGCCTCGCCGACCCCCGTAAAGGGGGTCTCTGGGGGACCCCGCCCCCCGGCTCGAGGGCGCGTTAAAGATGAACCAGAATATTCGCTGCAACGCCTCTCACAAAGAACGGGGTCTGTCTCCACAGCGTTGTGAATTTCACGGCCGCTACACAGCAAATTCTGAGCTTTCTGAACGAGATGAGCAGTCATATGGTCTACCTCCCGAACTTGAGGGTCGGATGTCGATGTGCATGCGTCGATGGAGCGTGACTGAACCCACATTTGGGCTCCACGCTCGTATGCCTTGAATTCTCAGCGGGCGCATTCGGGACGAGCGGCTTCACGGACGATTTGTAGGGCCAATCAAGGTTGAGGTGATCACCGTATGCCTCGCTGGATATGCAAGTATTTCTCCTGCATAATCTTCAGGTCTTGGTATCGCCTCGTCTCGGTCACGGAGTTCAGCCGGAGTATGGAGACAGCATCTACTGCAGTAGACATACATACAGTATGGATGGATGGATGGATGGATGATTTCATTTACGCTGACCCCTCGCTAAGCGATATGCAGCATACAACAACTATGTAATCAATGTACGTACATGTATCGTGTACCTCTTCTTAAACGAACTTAGAGCCTCGTTGGGGCCTGCCGTGGCCTGGGGCCGTTCATTGTGCTAGGATGCCTGCATGGCGCGACTATAATGAATTTGCGAATGAAACCGACGAGTGTTCGGATTTGGCTGCATCTCTGCTAAGAAGCGCGAAAATGCCGGCAATGCTGAATTCAGGAATTTGGACAACGACTTTGTTGCGGACACAGGTTTGTTGCTAATTTGACTAGCTGAGAATTTCCTTGTCTTCGACTCGATTTGGAAAGGTGATGGTTTGTTGTAGAATCGGCGGTGAAGATCTCCTATTGTGAGTATAGGTCTAGTGGGAGGGACAGGTTCTTGGGGTGTAGGAGTCGGTTGAGGTGAAGTCGTGGTGGGTTGCTGGAGGACCGAAGCATAGCTTGGCTGATGGTTTAGGGGTATGGTAGTAGTGGTTGGTGTCGGATGGGGAGGCTGAGGCGAGAGGGTTGGTGGAGGCAAACGTGATGGGTCGGTTGTAGTAGAGGGCGGGTGAGCGTAAGGGTCGTTAGAGCATTCCTCTGCTGTAGGAAGCACAATTTGTGCTGGGTTGGCTTGTGTTTGTGTACTAGCGTCGGTAGTCTTCTTGGGTTGTTCGCTCTTCGAGGAGAGAAAGGGGCTCGGAGCTGACTGGTGAGGCGGAGTGCGTTGTGGGGTAGGTGGTTCGGGTGGAGTGGGGGGAGGAGCCGCGGATCCGGAGATAGAGGACGGTCGGCGGAGGGCTGGGAAAGGCTTCCTGCCTACCCTGGGATTTGGAAGTTGAGGGTTCATTCCGTTGGGATTAGAGGCAGCTGGTTCCTCAACATAATATAGGTTCCTAAGCCTCTCTTACAGTCGATCGGAGTGCACAGCCCATACATACAGTAGTTTTCGAAATCAGCTATACCTCCATACTCTTACTTCTTGATTCGGAGAAACTAATTCCGACATGCGCTACGCCGTTTTAGTTCACCGCCTCTTAATCACGGCAGAACTGTTATCGTAATGGTTGTATTACCATCAATGGGTCATTGTTATGGTACCGTGATATTACATTGAACCATCCATATTTGTTTTGTAGAGCTGGCAAGGTCGCCAGCTAGCTTCCAACTTCAGCAAGGGGTCGGAGTCAACAATATCATCCATCAGTCCCCACTGTACCTCATCCCACATGTCCATATCCGCACTGGCTAAAGCAAGAAATTATATAAGAAAATCGTGAAAGAAGTAAAAAGGAGACCTCAATGACTCAATCACAAAGTAGAGAGGATTCCGGGAGGAAACCAAGTACCGGATGGATTAAGACCGATCGACGCCTTTCGGAGTCCGTGATAAGGCCTAAATGGGGTGGATGTACCTCAGGGCAAGCAAATCGCTCAGGCTCTTGGGTCCCCTTTCTCTTGGATCTGCACGTACGGCAGTAGATCGTACTCGTACAGGTCTGCACGGCACATGTGAAAGCGGGGCGTATTAGGGTGTGAGCGGGAATGTGACGGATGCATCTGGTGATGTCAGAGGTCCTCGCTGGTGGTTCTCTGTGTAGCTGTATGCAAGCGAAGGTACCTGGGAAAGCGCAGACAAAGACCTGGTTAGCTGGTTGGTGCGATGGTTGGGCACGTGTACTTGTGTTAATATGCACTGAGAAACTCAGCGAGGAATATATACCTGATGTCCATTCGGCAGACCACTCCAGGGATGTGCTTCTTGCTGCTGTTGACATAGTTCAATGCCAGCCATTATTGCGTAGCACATGCTGAACGGACCGATGAGATCCTCGTCGTAGGCGATCTTGCCCGCCGTGTGTAATGAAAGGAGCCCAGGCACTACTGAGATGACTGAATCGCTGTATTCCGTCTGGTAGGCGGCAATCAAGTTGGCATTATTTGGTATAGCGTGGAAGAGAGGAGAATGGTTGTAGTCTGATTGCCAATGGGCGTCGCAAGGGGCCATGGAAGGATAGTAAAGGGCTTGGGTGTGGAATGCCGAGAGCTGGGGAGTGCACTGTTGAGCGAAAATGGGTTGGCGATCATCGGAAATTGTGTAGTATTCGTAAGACGCAGGTCGGTCTGACGAATGCAATTGAGGCTTGACATCTGCAACAGACTTGGACGCTCGCATCTTTGTTCGAGTCGTGGTAGGAGATGGCTTTGGTAAAATTTGCTCTGCGTGTGACTGTTCTGGAGTAGAAGAAGACGGAGCTCGTCGCTCCAGATCCTCCGACCGACGCTTTAGCTTCTTGCCTGTAAGATCACGGCAAGTGAGAAACATATACGAGACTATCAAGTCAATAACGGTACTCACGATAGTTACGCTGAGCTATGCGGTTCTGAATGCGACGACGCTCTGCGAGATCGGAGATTTGGGTCCAATCTTCGTCGGCGTGGACGTTGGGGTTGAATTTGCTGATATAATTGTGACTGCCACGAGATGCTGAATGACGAACGTACTCAGTGGAGCAATGCATGTTGGAGACAGATGGCGGGGGATCGGCAGTATGATAAGTATAATGAAAGTACAGAATGTACTGTATAGGGCTCCTCGAACTCAGTCCCACCCCCTTTTTATCTCTTAATTCATCGCAAACTCAGCTTTGAAACGACGCCCTAGCCTGTTTATGGCTTAGCTTGTTAATCATCAAATATACATTAAAGGAAAATCACATGATGAAGGTCTCCGTCATGTTCCGAAAATAGTCACAGCATTGCCATTCTGTGAATATCAATGATCGTAACTGTGCTGCATCCAGCTTCAGCGGCCATCTGAGACATGGTAAACGATTGACTCTCTATCATATCAAAAATGAGACCAAGCTTTGAAGTGGAAAGCCTTGGAGCTATATCCTTTAGACTGGCCTTGTGTGAGGTCTTAGTGAAGACGGTGTGATGTGTAAAGAATTAAGGATTGACGAACAATGAAAGGGACGAAGGGCACGAGGTGAAATGTATGGCAGTTTCGTGTAAATTAAATGGTCGGATGTTCGGGATCGTATTGTAATGTATCCTTGCTCTTTAAGTAGGCGGTCTGGGAGAGGGACTGGGACCGGATTACCCATATTGGGACTAGCGCGTGTCGGACCCTGCCGGGGAATCAAGGAAGAGTGTAGAGGTAGGTATAGCTAAATTCGAAAACTACTGTACCATCAGGCGGAACAAATACCCACGCCACAAGGCTATCGGCTATCCCCTGCAGGTCTTCAAATTCCGAGAGACAGACTGCTACGCACTCCTTCGGGTCTAGGTCAGATAGGCATAACAACTGACCTGATGGATCAATCGACTCGAAGGTCGAGGTGGCGACTCGTAGGTGCCAGCAATAGTCGTGTATAAAACAAGCCATGGTAGGGTACCAGCAAGGCCGAAAAGAAAGGCAATTTTCTCGCTTCACATTTCAGTCATGGGAATCCGAGCGTTGCCTGTGATGAGATCAGAGTCAGCCAAATTTGATTCAGTTGGACAAGGTAATGTACTTGACTTTTTTTATAAAGACTTCCCGACCATCGATGGTATGCGAGGGTCTGACAATTAGGATCGTCGTCATACCAGCCTACCAGCGAGGCCACCATGTCTCTTCTGCAACGCTGTCATCAACATGCCATATTGCATCCAGGTTGGTCACCCTTCGGTTGTTCAAGAATGCCACACTGGTGTGTAGAGCAGGTTCGCAAGGCAGAAAACGCTGGCGACGAACCTATGCGCGTAATAGTTGTACAGTCATATTGGAGGACTCCTTGTAGAGACACAACATCGTGCAGTGTGCGAAGGCGGTGAGGTGGAGATCGCGTCGGCCCGCAGTTTTATCTGACTTGGCGGGAATAGCTTTTCTCGCGACAAGGGCTTCCGCAGTTGGTGATGGGCTGCTACAATGGCATAATAATATCAGTGATTTTCGTGTCTGTGGCACAAACTTGACACAACGCATCGGAGTTGACGCGGCAAGCGGCGCAATAATCCACTCACCTCATCGTGGACGACGAACGTCTATAATTTATGCATCATGTTCTTGGCCCATGACCTTGGTTCGCGGTATCTCATGCAGGACACGCTGCATGGTTTGGAGTGTGAGAGCCAGGAATGGCGCGTAAGTCATGACCCTTCGCGGAGCACTGACGGAGTTCTACTTCGGACCCAGTTTGGTGCGCTATCATGGTTTCCTGTCCATCATTAGCTTTTTGATCGGCGAGACAATGCATGACTCACATGGTCTGCATCAAGACACGGGAAAGGGCTCCGTGGCTGGTGTAATCCGGGCGAATGCACGTAGTATTATTTCGTATCATCTATGGGGTCAGCTGAATTTGGACAGTATCGTGCTGGCAGTGACCCGTCTAACCGCTCTTTTACATCGATGTATTCACCGGACAGTGGTCGGCTGCCATGGGTACAGTAGCAAAGTGAACTTGGTGGGAATCACATTCTCATTCGCACTTCCTTGGAGGACCACAATGTAACTATAGATGTCAGTATAGTGAATTTCTAGTAAGGTCAGAGAAAGAAACTTATCTGGTGCCTCAAAGAGAAAGGCCGCTCGACTCTGGAAGCCAAGGGAAAGTATTGCAGAACAAATTGCTGGGGGGAGGAGGACGTATTTATAGGCTCCTCAGCTCCAGTCGCGTAAGTGCTCTACTGGGAAGCAAACGTTGAAGAACACGATGCCTATCCTAAGTGAGGCAGGTTTTAATATCGCAACTATCTGCAGCGACATCGTCATGGCTATTGAGATGCCCGCCGAGTAAAAATGCTGGTCATGTTGAAAAACAGTGAAGCTGAGTCGGTTAAGAAACGTTGGCTCACTGTTGAAACTACAGTCCGTGGTCGCGCGAGCGCACCCCTTGAAACCTATCCTTCTTCTTGGCTTGAATCAACTTCTGGACTGGTGACTACTGTTGAAATATTTTGAATTTTTACGGCTTTTGTTCAATGTGTTGGATTCTATCTGTCTGCCTTCAAGATTTCTGAGTCCTCCAAGTATGTGAAAATAATGATGCGATTGAATATTTATGTCTCAACAAACACCTTCACCAATCCTGCGCATAAATTTACGCAATTGAGTTACTCCTAGAATGCTAGGCCATAGCCCCAGGAGCGCCACTTAAACATCTAGGAATCAAAAGGTCGTCAACAGGAACGTGGCTTTGATTCCCCGAGGGGACGGTGTTAGACCCCAGGAGCCATGACAGGTTTCCTAGGGCCACGCGGCTCCTGGAGGCTGCCTCTCTGCCCCTAGAAACTCTTCCAGAGCTCCCGGGTGTGAGGGTCTCACGTAAACGCAGATGGGGACTGACTTTTGCAGATGAATAATCTATATTGAGAAAAGCTATAAGTTAGTCGACTCCAGATACAAGACGTAGCGCGAGGAAGCAAAGGAGACGAGCTTCCTGGCGTTCATGCACCATGTGGGTCCCGCCGATCATAACCATCCAGTATGCTTCACGTATAACAGAGTGGGGTGTACTGGGATTTGGGACTAGGTCAAGTCTAGTCCCATGGGACTTGAAGAGGTCTAGAACTTCCCTCACACAACAAACTTGTTTCTGGCAACTCACGTGACCGTCAGTTCACGGCTGACGGATCCCAGAAAGCATTACCGGTCATTTGACAACTAGTATCATGCCACGGCTAATCTTATGTCCCTCGTCGGTTAGAAAGCCTCGAATGCTCAGCCTTCATGGCAAATCAACCTTCAACAACTTGTCCTTGTCAAATTTGTCGAAGAACGCGTTTGGAGGTTTGTTTGCTGAGTATAAAAGAGGTGAGACGAAAGGAAAGCTGATGATAAAAGCAATTCCATTAGAACCCTCGATCAATTCATCCCCAGCATCTTCTGCCAGAGAATTTCGAACAGAATGCACTCCATCCACTTTAGGAAACGAGCTCGATCACGTGTCACTCGACGCAATCGAGACCATCGATCTTACCGGAAAAGTTGCCCTTCCCTCTCCATCAACGACTGATTGGGAGCCGCCTCGACCACGGGCCGATGGAGCTGTACCACCCGAATGCTGTCGCGCAAAACGAGGCAAAAAACGGAAGGGTGGTGAGTGTACACCGGACCTGCTTGCTACGTCTGGAACGCCGTCAAAATTCCAACACCTCTCGAGGGCAGGCACGTCACCACCCGTGAAGAATATTCCTGCAGAGCTGTCCGCAACGCCGAGTCGTCGTAGTACGCCTAGCGATGCCATGCTGCACAAAACATCGATCGCGGACGAGGACAACGACAACGATTCACCTGATACCTGGCTCGATATTGACACCATATTTCCAGATGCCGGATTAGAGCTTTACCCGCAGCCGCCTCGGAGCACCTACCGAGGAGAGAGAAAAACCGAGAGCCCGCAACAGCCCAACTCACCGTTGTATTCGAACGATGCCACGCCGCCGCCACCTTGTATTGAATGGAACAGCAATTCATCGCAGTCACATAACCCAGAGTCATTGCCCATCACGAAGATGTCTACTATTAAACAAGCAGACAAATCTTTCAAGGGATTTCTGGCTGTTCACTCGGAGACCCTGGCGCAATTGATATCAATTCTGAAAGAAAAACTCCACAAAAATGCAGAAATTATCTACGAACAGGCGATTCAAGGCCGACTAGCACCAGATATCATCGCCGCAAATAGGGATCTGGTCTCCCAAATACAAATCATGGAAACTTTGCAAACGAGCAGGAGTGCTTATCAGGATTGTGCGACGCGCAAGGAAGATCTCAAGCAGAGCCTAATGCGTGTGATTTCTGAGGGCTCGGACCCAACAACCATGCCGGAAATGGCGCAGAGTCGACTCTTTGAGGCTGAAATGAGGAAGACTGAGGCCCAGATCCGCGAACTTCTGCCTCGAGCCAAGATTTTTGACATAGCTTGCAATTTTGAAACTAATCAAGAAGATACAATCTGTGAATGATGATGTGATGATGATGTATTCATTTGCCCGATGTAGCTCGCTCTCTATATATGCTGCTATGCGGGAGTGCTGTCAGGCCTGCCGACAGCTGGAAAAAGTGGTGCCAGTCCACTGGGCGACTGTTGGGAACTCGCTGTGCAAATTTCCGATCAATCGCCCTCGAATTGAAAAGATGTAAAATAAACAAAAGAAATGCACGGATGCAAACATGATAAACAAAAAGCCAAAATGAACGTCATTTACAGGAGCCCCTGCCCATTTGGCTAATCGCCACAAACCTTGTGGGCCATCTTCAACGACCTGCTGGACTCGGCGGCGGTGCGCTCTTGACAAGTCTTTCTTGACGAGTCGCGTTTTACTGTTGCGTACTTCCGAATAGCACATCCAGTTGTAGGGGTCTTTGGTTCTCGTATGTCTGCGACGGAGGCGACGGACTTGTTTGACCGCAGCTTTGCACTCGTCGTCATCTCAAATACTCATTCATAACCCCGCTATGGCAATGCTTAGCTATATACGACTAGGCTTTTTTTTTCCTTTTGGCGGCAATATAGATGTATGATCGGCTGTATTATATTTTCAAACCTCGGCGATATGAACCTGGCCCATTGCTGGGTCTTTGGAAAAGAAAACGAGTGTGTCTGGGGGTTAATCTGTTTCCAAATACCTCTTTACGAGATTTGATTATGTACCGAAAAAAACATGTGCTTTCGCTGGATGTGTCTTGACTTAGCCAGCGTAATACTGGTTCTGTTCTCTTGATGATTCTAGGAAGCAAGGCTACAGTTTTGAGCTGCAGGATGGCCTGGAACGCCCGGAAGGCTGCTCCCGGAAACGAATAGCGGAGCGAAGATAGAAACATCGTTATGCAAGGGTCCCTTCCTGTGATTGGTTTTTTCCCCAAGCCTCTAGACCCGATCGGGTAGCACCACCTTTAGAAAGTATCCGTGCTTTATTTCCCATATCACTCTGCGCTGTCACCTTATACTCTACGATAGGACATAGAAGGTAAGGGTGGAATATTTTCGAGAAAGTCGGAAGGTGGACCCTTGCTCTGCTTAGGCTGCGGCAAAACCATAGGTAACCGCGGATAGCCAAAATCGCAGCCAGAAACTTGCGGTTTTGGGCCTGATTTGGAAACCGCGAACCGCACTGCGGGCGGCGGTGGTTTTCACTTTGGAGAATTGCGGTTTCTGCAGTTATCCATGGATATGTACGCATTGTGGGTTTTCTCCGACTGCATAGTGCGGATAACGATATAAATTCATTTGCGGATATCCGCAGATTAGTTATATTGCAAGGCTCTATGTATGGGCTCTGAGGAGACACAGTACTATATATTATGACATGTATAGTAGATCAGAGATAGCTGCCCTTTCGGCTTAGCCGCCGGGCGTTAATAAATCGTGTTTGTGTGTAAATGGTCAAGATTCAAGGATTTCCTAGTTTCATTGTAGAATTCAGTGTAAGTAAGCTTTCACAAATGTTTGCTATGCTCACAGCGAGTTTTTGTCGAAGGCTATATTTTTTTGTAAAAGGCCAGATCTTAAATATTGTGATTGAATGTCTTCCGCACCTATGTAGCTTGATAAGATCGACTACTTTGCACTATGCTCAGCTTCGATCAAAGAGCGGCTCTGTGGTGGCCTCTCCCAGCGAAAGCAATACTGCCCCATCTTCATTGCTGTGTATCTAGACCGATGGCCAGTCATCCAGTTTGACTTTCCATCCCAGGTTGTGCCCATCTCGAATGGAACACTGTAATCGGGCGCTGTTGGTAGGTCAGGCCATGTAAACCGGTGTGGTGCATTGAGATATCGTTCCATATCCCCGTCAGATCTTCGTGTTGCTACCCATTCGCTCAGAAATTTGCGAAATTTCGATACCTCAGAGTCTAGCTGACGATTACTAGTCCATTCTGAGATACTTTGCACCATGTCTATATGTCGATCCGAGTGGGGGATACCCGAGAAGGATGTATCGTTCGTGACAAGCTCGTAGAGTGTGAAAACGACACTAGTAACATCGTCTCGACCGTCGTACAGGCGTTGCTTTCCGGATGCAGCCCGATCAAAGTCGAAGAGAACGATCTTATGGGTGCAAGGATCGATGAGCAGATTCCGGGGTGCGATATCTTGATGCATGATCCCTAGCTCTAGGTTGAGAAAATCCACGACTTGAGTAAGCTGTTGTAGCCACTCGAATCGAAAACGAATCTTTGGATTGGCGAGAGTTCCACCTGGGATGTACTTCGTTGTGAACCCAATCACCCGAGACTCCTGGTCTTCAAGGACAACGCGATCAAATGGTATTATATTAGGATGTGGCGGTAGACTTTTGAGAAGGTTGAGTTCATCCCAGGCCATTTGTAGTCTGAGAGGCTTGTTCAAGATGTTGAACTTGAAAGCAACTTTTTGGGGAATCCCGCATTCGTCTTTGTACGATACAAGATCAATGAACGGTCCAAGCCGATCAAGCTCTTGGAGTTTAGAGTACTTAATTGTACGACAATCGGCGAGTGATTCACATAATGAGAAAGGGATATATGCAAGAAATAGAGTATCGTCCTCTTCCAGATCTGACGACACCCCGGTAAGGAGCCCATCGTCGTCAACTGTGATAGCGCGAACTCCCGGAGATAGATAATCAGCGAATTGCGCCAAAATTGAGAGCTCCCTATCCTCTTCGGGCGGAAACAGTTTGGCGGTGCCTTTGACTTTGACCATCCGAAGCTGATCCCAATCCCAGACGTTGCAGTAAGTTTTGGTGGTGGGGTTTTCGCTTGGGCCGCAGTAATTCTGGCCTTCGGACCAGAACCTGTCTTGCGCGTTGATCATGGCAAAATGAAAGCTCAAAACGAGTGATCTGTATAATGTTGCTTCGGCAATGTGGGCGAGCGACTAATTTCGATGGATGGATGTTCTCCTAAATAGAAATACGGTGCCCAAATCACGTGACTGGCCTTGCAATAAGCAAAACGAAACCCCTTTTTCCTTGCTGATGCATATCCACTTTGATGCGTCTTGAAAGTATCACCCATCCAATAGTAGTCCGACAAGCCCCTGCGCGCTTCGAGGCCCCATAAATAGACAACCGAAGCGCATAAATCGTCGGACGTATTGGTCAACGAGGGGAATCACATTTGACTACGTAGAGTCAAATTCGCGCGCGCGAGATAATACTCAAAACGCTCCAGACTTGATGCTAGAAACGAAATAAACACTCGAAGTGTGATTCGAGTTGTATAAACCACAACTAGCAAAATCGAAAGGTTACTATAAGTAGGAAAGCCATATCCAAGGTTTGTTTACGAAGGAGTCCATCTTTATCAATTCTTACATACTTCTTGCTTTAATTCCTGTTTGGTTCTAATTAACATCAAGTTTTCGTTCGACCACCAAACCCCTATATCTCCGCCCAAAGCTCTCTGATCAAGATGACTACGCAAATTCCACCAAATCAAATGGGGACTGATGTCCGCAATCGTCTCATCAACAGCCTTCAAAACCCGAGCGGCTGTCCTTGCGGTTGGTATGTCTACTACTCGGCTGTATGTACGCATGCGTACCAGGAAGTGAAGTACGAGTGCGGCAATAAAACTACACCGTCTGGTCGAAGTGGCTTCTGCAAAACCCCGGCACCGAAGAATATTGTCCAAGGTGTGCAGATCAACGTCAAGTGTCAGTATTGTTGATTTTCCAAGTAGGTCACTCAGACTGCCAATAAAGTGGGAAAGGGGTACTAAAGACTTTGAAAAAGGTTGGCGGAAATGTAGGGGTACAGCTACGAAGTGCCAATGGAGGCACTACCGTACTTAACGGTTGTAAGCGGTGCAGACACATGCGCTTAGAGATGGATGACGATCGCACTCTCTTGTCTTTTCATTTGACCTCTCACTTTCGCTAGTGGGTTCAATGAGCTTAGGTTTCTATACATGTACTTAACTTGAAGGCAAATCAATGGTTGAGAGATAGGTTTGTAATCAAATAAAGTTGCCGCTTTTTCAGTTGCAATTACAGTACGTATTACAAAAATTAAATTGCTCTTAATAAAGCCGAGGAAACGGATGCTGACACAGCTGGCCCGAATGGAGCCAAAGAAAGCTGCAGCTTAAGTGAGTCATGCCAACCAACGTAGCCTCTAGCTTAGACTGTGGGCCAAGCGCCGAAAAAGCAAAACATCAGATGAAATCTTGTCCGACATGATGCACCTCTGATCACCTATAGAGTCGCAAATTCGAACATGCGCAACGAGAAGAAGCGCTTAATTGGGTGGCCTAATACGGCCGACTATGAAACACTTCGTTACCATGTGAACCAAAAGATTGCCCCTAAGAACCAAATTGGGTGTCTCGCTAGAAAGTTTCTATTGAAATATAAATCGGAGCAAATGCCTAAGAACTAAGTTGCCATCTCCTGTCCCGTCAAGATTCATACGATGTTGTCACTCATGATTGGCAATTCACTGGGCTGCTGGTCACCTTCATTTTCCTGGCCAGGCAAACTGTTCGGGGCATCCATTTTGTTCGCAGGAGAAAGTTACGGGTATGAACAATACCACTTCCATCAAGCCTTTGTGCCTTTTATAGACTGGACGCAGATGTTTATGGACTGGTTTACAATCACCACTGCTGGCCAACTTGGCCAACGTGCCGTTGCCGGTGCCATCTCGCGCAGAGGCATTCTTTGGCAACGTTACTGTACAGAGCTTCGACTGCAATGTCGACAAGTCAAACGGCTCTCTAGCAAGAGTGGTCAACTTTTGATGGCCGGTCTGGTTGTCTTCAACTTTGATCGAGTTCTTGCATGGCTCGCTTTTTTTCGTCATGCCGCAATATGAGCCAGGACCGCCATTGGGGCTGACCTCTATCTCACAAACAAGAAACGGATTCCAAGGCAGCATGGTAGTTATTGAGGTGGTCGTCAAACGCAGATAATGCGGACTGTGGTGGTGTTGGGCAATGACTGGCGTTCCCTCGCCAGCTTTATATGCCATCGCCGTGGGCTCCTTACCGACCTGGCTGTGTGAATGCGGCATGGAATGCTTCCTTGAAACAGTCGATGTGTCCAAGAAGCATTGGAACGCAGTATGTGCCCATCCGGCCGATCGGTGGCCTACGCGAAGGGAAATCATTCCAGATCAATGCAATCATTTTCATTGCCGGCTGTCGATTGCGATGATCATGCATTTAGAATTAGATTGGCTTTTGCGGTGAGCAGCGAAGTCGAGAAATACTAGACGTAATTCTGGGTTGCCTATGGAATTTCAGGCGTCATAGCTTATGGTCTACTCTTATGGCGCTAGATGCGGCAAGTCGGTACCAGAAAGATTCGGTTTCCGGGTCTTCGACACACTACCAGGAACTGATTTTGCGTTCCTGGGAGCTAGGCTCCCAAGGTTCGTCGACACAGCTCTGAACTTCTTGTTAACGCTTTGATGCTGCCTCAACATTGCTACCGAAGCCTCAGCGGAGGAGATGAACCACTCCAAAGAGCTCTGAAAAGCAAACAAAGCCCAACGTCATCTCCCTCGCTTCAAACATACAAATGGACAAACAGTTGGCCAATCCCATCACCGAAAACCAGCTGCTCAATGTAGTGAGAGAAATATGCGATGAGTTAGTTACTGCAGAAAGAGAATGCATTGATGTGGTGAATTTCGTCTCACAAGTAGACCAAATCGCGGGACTATCGGATGAACAGTGGAGCTTCTGCACCTCGTTGCACAGAACACTCCTCCACAAGCATTTTCACTTTTTCATTGCTTCTCAGCATCCGGCAGCCAGCGCAATCTTGAAAAGCCTGGCTCAAAACTACAAGATGCCCGGACGCATGTGGCGCTACGGAATCTACTTCTATCTGGAGCTGTTTCGCACAAGGCTCCCCAGCCCCAGTGTGCAAGACCATATGCTAGGCTTCATATATTTCTCGTATTCGATGGTGACGCTTCTTCTAGAGCAGGTCTCCACATTTGAAGAAATCTGGACAGAATGCTTGGGGGACCTAGCACGCTATCGTGCTGCAGTGGAGAATTCCGATGAGACAGTCCGCCATCACTGGGTAGACATTTCCAGAGATTGGTACAATCAGGATATCGATCAGTAATTTAGAACTGGCCAAATTCTGCACTATCTTGCCGTTATCTCTCGTCCGAATACTTTGCAGATGTTCTTTTACTTCTCGAAAGCATTACTCAGTGTGGACCGATTTCCAAAAGCGCGGGAAAGCATGATTCAGCTGTTCAACGATATTCTAATCGCACCGGCTGAGGAACACACATTGATCAGTTCTTTTGCGGCTGCCCATGGTGTTATTTTCAAGCGTATGCCATATGACCAGTTTGTCATTCGGTTCAATTTCTTCCTTTTAAAAAATCATCACAGCCGATCGCCTAGTCTCCCGGAGGCACGAGAAAGCACGTTAATCATGTGCTGCAATATTGCAGCGATCTTGGACTATGGAGAAGGGAACGGGGAGTTTGCAACGGACTTTGCTCACAACGCAAGTACTTCTACTGCAGACGCCTATATCATTGCAAAGTACTGGGCATCTGCAACAGCACATATTGAATCAAACAGGCATGTCTATACTGTACAGTACCTGGAACTCTGCACACTGTACTTTAGTATATTTTACTGACCATATCTCGATATCTAGTTTTCTCGCTGGATAACATATGATCAAACACAATTTACGCCTACCAGGCTTGCCTTTCAATTTGCGACAGTTGCTCAACATCCTGAACACTTCAGTCGAGGTTCTTACACTGCACCTGCGCCTGTGGAGTGGAAATCAGGGGACTTTGGAAATGAAGGCACGGGTGCTGGTCCGAATTTAGGCCTGTTGAGGCGATGCATTTGTTTAGCTACTGTTATCTAAGTTTTGTTGATAGCTCCCAAAATATGTGAAGCTCTCAAGGCTAGCGAAGATACAGAGTAACTGGTGTGTAATTTCTCGACTCTGATGCCCACAAGATGGAGTGCCGCATTTGTTGTTGGTTGACTTATCATTTCCCGGATTTGCCACTCAAGTCATGTACATTACCCATGTCAGACTTCTAGATGAAGGAAATGCCGTCGAATGTAAACGGTCTTTGCTACAGTATATAGACAGACAGGGTGATAGCGGTGGGAGTCTGTCCAGCCCAGCTGCGCATACGAGGTTCGTTATGCCCTGCTTTGTGGTCCCAGTCTCGTAAACCTTCTATCAAATTGCCTTTTTAATCATATGAACAAGTATGAGCAAAGTTTTCCCAAAGTATGATCATAATGACTAGAGTCCGTATTTCCGCATCGCCGTGTTCAATGTCAAGCTGTAACTATCTACAGATACAAGGGTTTTACTTTTTGGCTTTCCTCCCCCGTTCTGCACTTATTGATTGAAAGGACAACTACAATATTGCAACCAGAGTAAATAAGTAAATGCACTAGACCTCGTCGATCTGATATCAGTTCACTTGAGCGTGATCTTTTTCACGGGTGCAGTCAAAGAAAGAACGTTTCCTTAATTCATGCGGTTTTTATATGTCTGTCCTGATAGAATAAAGAGGTAACCATGACAGTATTCTGATACCAACATCCACATCATCATTTTCAATAAACCGGTCACGCTCCTGTTGACGGCTTGTTGATTCCTAGAGGCGTAAGTGGCGCTCCTTGGGCTATAGCGTAGCCTTTTAAAAGTGACTCGATGGCGCAGGTTTGTGCGCAGGATTGTTGAAGGTGTTTGTTGAGGGCATTTCACGAAGTCGAAAGGGACTATGATCACTCTAGGATCCCAAAGTATGCTCCCAGGGGCTCTGCAGCTCCTGGATCTGGATGGTGTATTCCCAGAGCCATTTAGACATTCAGCCAGGAACATAGAGTAATGGTCTCAGGAGCAGATCTCGTCTTCCTGGAACCTATAATAGCCCCAGGAGCTAAAGCCATTGTGTAGAGCATTATAGTCCCGGCGTGGAAGACCCCGCGTCCTCCGCACGAATGGAGCAGGTGTAGATGCCATGCTAGTGTTTTCTGGGTCAGTATATCAAAGTGGTCTCAACAATAATGCATAACATACCTTGAGCTACTTGAATAATCAGGCAGAGCTGAAAGGGGGACTGGAGGGTGGGATGATTGTTGGCAATCTCGGTCATTTTCGCGCTTTATATGCCCTTTATGAACTGGAAAATCGATAGGTCACTTCTGTATTTCTGCAGCGCGCTATTCATAACATTGAGCGTAAACAGAATGTAAACAAAATGCAGCCAGGGTCATTGGAGACTCTATATTGTGAGGCAAACGTGTTTCTACGTGCCATTCATCGTACATAGTGCATGGACGAAATTTGAAATGGATCACAATGAAACTACGGGAATTAATGGGTATAGTCAAACAGACCAAACAAGATGATATGAAGCTGGGTCATAGATATATATAATTTCAACCGCTCTTTTCTACTGGCCCTAAAGTCTCCATGATCAGACGCTTGTGGATGAGTATGGTACCTCAAAACAATCCACTGCAGCTTAGTAGATAGGCGGATCTTGAATTCTAGCATATATTTGGAAATGACATTCTACGGTTCAACGCCGTCGATGAAGTGATGGAATTTTGAAATTAACCCCTAACGTATTTCGGTAATACGAGAACCGCTGTACCGGACAAAGTATTAATGCGGATAAAATTCACAATATGAATAATATGAATGCGAATATGAATAATGCGTTTATTCGCGTGAATAAAAATTCATATATTCATATTCCTACAGTGCGAATATGAATATGCTGTATATTCGCATTCATTTATTCCTTTCGGAGCCCTACTGCTTGGGTTGTTTGGTCTCCTCAGCACGGGTACTCTTGAGTCATTGCCTGACTGAACGACAGACAGCAAGCAGACCGCAACAAGACGCGGGCACGAGATGGACTACTACAGAAATTCAGAATTTGGAATTGTCACTTGGGGTGGGTGAAAGGCCACAGTTCCGCCTGCTATAATTCGCCAGATGAATCCGATCGTGTCACAGTGGAACCGGGGTTTCATTGGGCTCGCCTGATTTGATTGGCCCGTCGTTCTGAGCTGTTTTATTGCACAACGATAACGAGGCATTATCCGACTGACATGTCAGGCAGTGACTTGTCAGTCTGGCGTCCAAACCGCTCATTTAACATAGTCTAGATGGAGAGATCATCTTTGAATGGAAGCCTTTGGAATTACATTGCTTCTACGTTACGGATACAATTCCCAGAGGCTGCCGCAGGCTTTCTGCAGTGGTAAGGCGAACCTTCAAAGTAGCCCACATCATATAATTGGCTGGGCATTACTCCTTTCTCCACCTTGGAGTGCCAAGTCGCTCAGTATACAGGGCTTTTTTTCCAAATTAGAGGGGTCAGGAACTCTCGCGTATCCATACTACATTTCTGTAAGTTGACTCACTCTCATGCAAGGACAGCACATATCACTCACCGCCGTTTTCTTTGTGTGACGGTTTAAATCAGGTTTAACTTCATCTTGTTCGTCTTGAGCTCCCGAGTTCTAAATTTGAAGCTTACAGACCTAAATAAGTCAAATATGTTTTGCTGAGCCATATAAGTTACTATTTGTATAATACGCTGTTGTTGATACAGTATGTGTGTGTGTGTGTGTAATTCATTTACGCTGACCCCTCGCTAAGCGATATGCAGCATACAACAACTATATATCAATGTACGTACATGTATCGTGTACCACTTCTTAAACGATCTTGGAGCCTCGTTGGGGCCTGCCGTGACCTTGTGGCATTGTTCGAATTTGGTTGCATCTCTGCAAGAAAGCGCGAGAATGCGGGCAATGCTGAAGTCAGGAACTTGGACAATGAATTTGTTGCGGATACCGAATTGTTGCGAACTTGACTAGCTAAGCGTTTCTTTGTCTTGGACTCGAGCTGGAATGGCGATGGTTTGTTGTAAAACCGGCGGTGAAGATCTTCTATCGTGAGTATAGGTCTAGTGGGAGGGACGGGTTCTCGGGTTTTAGGAATTGATCGTGGTGAAGTCGTGGTGGGGTACTGGAGGACCGAAGCATAGGTTGGCTGCTGGCTTAGGGGTAGGGTAGTGATACTTGGTGTTGGATGGGGAGGCTGAGGAGAGACGGTCGGTGGAGGTAAACGTGATTCTGGGTCGGTTGTGTTGGATGGCGGAGGAGCACGGGAGTCGTTAAAGTATTCTTCTGCTGTAGGAGGCAGCTTTTGTGCTGGTTCGGCTTGTGTTTGTGTACTCGCGTCGGTGGTCGTTTTCTTAGGTTGTTCGCGCTTCGAGGAAAAAGGGCTAGAGCCTGACCGAGGCGGAGGGTGTGTATTGGTTGAAGAGGAGTGCGTGTCGGTGGAATCGAGATGTTGTTTTAAGTCACTGGAGATGACCTTCCATATGCAGTCTGCTCTATGTAGTTGCTGTATCTCTTGGAAAGGTAGGCGCTGGAAGCTGTCTAGGCGTTTGGCTGACTGACACGCAAAGCAGCAAGCCAGGCCGCCACTTGGAAAAGGTTGGTAGTGAAAACCATTCTTGGCCAGCTGAAGCGGGGTGACGCCACTGAGCACCTGTCCGCGGAATGACAGAGCTCTGGCCGTGATGGTGGAATAGGTGGTTGAGATAAAGAATTTCTCCTGTGTGGTCCGTTGTGGGGCAGGTAGCTCGGGTGGAGTGGGGGGAGTCGCGGATTTGGAGATAGAGGACGGTCGGCGGAGAGGTGGGAAAGGCTTCCTGCCTGCCCTGGGATCTGGGGGCTGAGGATTCATCTTTGGTTCTTTTGAGGTCCATACATTCCCAATAGTACAGTCACCGTATACCCATAGTTTTTTGTTGATACAGTACTTTTCGGAATCAGCTATACCTCCAAACTCTTTGTTCTTGGTTCGGAGAAACTATTTCCGATATGCACTAGGCCGAGTTAATCTACCGCCTCAGAATTCTGGCAAAACTGTCATCGTAATGATTGTATGGCCAGCATAGAGTCATCGTCACAGTACCGTATATTACATAGAACCACGTGGAATATCTTGGTAGATCTGGCGATCTTCCCAGATCCTCCCCTCTCCCGTCAGCCACGTTTTGCCTCTTTCTACCCATTCTTTCCACATACGGGGAACCACCGTTTTTGCTTGCCAGTCATAGTGCAATAGCCTATACTTACCCTATAGAGAAACTGATCCTGGTAGGGCAAAATGTTTTCGTCTATTTCCATGAAATTTTACTATCTAAGTAGTGCACCTCTCATTCGTTACCAGCCTTCCATCCTAACCTATGTATTACTCCCAGCTATGTTTTTTACAAGGATCGTAATTATCGTGAGAGATGAAAAAAACTTCGCCTCGATGATGTAACGCCGTATATAGGCTACGAATCATAGTAGCTAGTGACAGTCAATAATAGGGAGGTGTCAAAGGGCACGGAAGAAGATGTCATGTTAGCACCTAGCGACTTCTGGCAGCTGTCTTTGGAAAAAGAAGTTAGAAAAAGTGTACCATACAGCCTACTGAAGGCATTGATATTTCGGTTGTTGCATCGTTACTTCGCTGTAGCGAATATCAAGCGGCGCAGTAAGCGCGAGAGCTCATTCAGTTCAATTTGGTACTTACGACGATGGACAATCTTACGTGGGCAGTGTATGAAACGATATGAAGGATATGGAGGGCCGAAGCCCGATTCCAAGAAAGGGGGGTAGAACTCCAGCCAAGCTGATATTTTTTTTATGTATGTTAAAAAAAGAACGGAGATGATTTAGAACGTCCAAAGTGGCTAGGCCAAAAGGACGGGCGGATACAATCATCCGACACCCAGGTCATTAGTTGTTCAGTCATGGAGCAATTGTAAAGCTTGAATAACCCCAGGAAAATATTTCTTGAGCTTCGCAATATTTGCTGGTGCATCCGGCTGGGACCCTATTTCCTCCCATATCCGCTTCAGCTCTTGTTGTTTCTCGACAGAAGTGATTGGCCGTTGGCCAAAACAGTCGCCTCCTTTCTCCTTTTCACAATACTTGACGTGGTCATCAATGTATTGAGAAATCTTCTGCTCCGCTCGGGGTGTAGATACAATGTGCAACGAGTCACACTCGTTGTTCAGCACGATAAAGTTCGACCGCGCAGTCTTGAAACTCCAGTTGGGCTGTTTACCAAGATTTACCAAGACATGGTAATGGATACCTTCGGTTGCATGGTGTTCTCGACATCCGTAATACGTAGATGAAGTAAGTTCATTGCGCTGTAGCATATCGCTAAAGCCTTCTTCGAAATCATTTTTCGATTCAAGGGAACATTGGAAATATGTAAGAAATACCCAACGATGGTGGAGGCGGGGTTCGGGTTCAACCGAAATTGCCGGCGAGCTTCTTCCCCCAGAGGAAGAGGAGCCAGATACACTGGACTCAGTGGAAACGCTGACAGGTTCAACTCTAAATCGTCCAAACATTTTGATTTCAAAATTGTTGTATAGATCGAGGGGATCACCCCTCCTTTTATCTTATCGATAACATCACGTGCCGCGAATGCCACTTCGTGCCAAGAATTACTGCTTCGAGTATTTTTTCGCAGTCTTACATCCTTGCCAAGACTGCTAGCGTATTATACGCCTTTAGGAAGGCGGTGTGCGATTACCAACCTGACTTCGTCGTATTTATAGTGTCGTTACCAGACGCTAACCCATTCAGGTAGGCTTACACCTTTTCCTCCTATCGTCGGCGGCCGCTCCCGCTCTCTGTGGGCCCTTCCTTGTATCCATAATTCCTCCGAAGGGGGAATTACGTTGAGTCTCAAGTCTCAATTTTTTGGGGCAATGTTATAAGTGGGAATGCACGACTAAGATGACCCATCCCCCACTTTGCTATTTAATCTGCGGTGGACAGTCGCCATTTCATTTCTGAGGCCAGTGCTTTCCCTCTCCATCATCTACTGCTGCTTTGGTCCTACTCCCGGCATACAACTCATAAAGTGGCCACAAAGGGCTGTTATCATCAGCGGTGTTAAGGTTCGATTTCGGCCGATTCGTGTATGTGGGACATAGATAGTTTTAAACTGGCATAAGTTTCTGCAAATATTAATAATCATAAGTGTGGTACATTCAGCTTCATCGGCCATACACCGGCTCTCTACCATGTCACAGATCAGATGAAGCTTCGAAGTAGGGAGCCTAGGAGTCATGCCGCTGAATTATTTTGAGTGATTTTACTCAAAGACAGACGGGTGGTACGTGAGTGGGAGAGGAAACCTAGTTCTTGCCATGATCGAGGGGCACACCAGGCGGCATGAGTATACATAGCACTTTCGCGTAAAATGTATCTTCTGGTGTCTTGCTACTGTATTGTAAGATACACCTACCAGTTCGGAAAGCGGTCTGAACAGCGGGTGGTCAATCACCTATCCAATCAGAATTCACAACTGCCGGCTGTATTTTCCGGGAATCACATTGCAAGAATGCGGAGGTATAACTGATTTCGAATACTACTATATCTACCGAGCATTGATATCCGACTCGAAGTGGAAAAGGATTTCGAGAACGACTGTTGGGTGGTTGATACTATTGCGATATAAAATTGTGGTTTGTGTACCGAGCGGGATCTAACCCCAGACCGGATGGCGGACCCACCTGCGGGGCCTCCCGAGGCCACACCCACAAACATCCAGGAGACCAATTTCTCGGTCGAGGATTTCCAGCCAAGGGTGACCAACATCGCAACGCGAGTCACAAGAAAGAGAGGACGGCATAACGAGAGCTATGCACCCGAGGAGAGTACCGGCAGGGTCACTACCCGCGAGGTGTGGAAGCTCATCGACGAGCTGAAAGACATCATCCACCGCCAAAGCACGCTCATCGAATCAACCAAAACCGAGCTTCAGGAGGTTAAACGCGGACAGAATGTCCTCCAGGAACAGAACCAGAAACTCTATGAAGAAGTCAAGGCCCTGCGGGCACAACTCGACAGCCCGCCGCCGGGGCCCTCGGCTCGGTCGTGGGCCGCCGTAGCTGCTAGTGCGGCCAATGTGAACCCTCACCAGAACATTCAACGCCCCGACAAAGACCAGAATTGTGTCCGAATCAGCACCCAACAGTCTCCCACTGAAGTTTCCGAAACGGAAGGAGTAGTGAACGGATTTAGCCGATATATGCCCATCCCCGCAGCGAACAACCGTATCAGAACGGCGTTGTTAAACACTCCCTCTACCCATGACGTGCAGGTGGCAGGAATCGGCACCACGAAGACTGGATACGTGATCCGATTCAAAGACATCGCGTCAGCCGAGACGGCACGTAAAAACAACGAATGGCTACACGAACTAGGCAACGAAACTAAGCTGGTCAAACCACGATTCGGCGCAGTTGAACACCACGTACCAACAGGAGGAATGAACCTTGAGCGAGACAAAGAAAGAGCTATCCAAAAGATCATTGAAGAGAACGACCTCCAGGAACGCGGGTTCCGAATTGAAGATATCGCCTGGCTGAAGAAAAAAGACAAAATGCTGGGGGCATTCGGCTCTATGGGCATCTGGTTCGACTCCGAGGAAGCGGCACAATGGTTGCTCGACAATGGCCTTGTGATCGACCAACATTGCGTTGGTCGGTGGAGAGATTCGAAATCAAAAAGAAGCGGTGCTTCCGCTGCCAAGGGTTCGGTCACCTTGCGTGGTCGTGTAAGGAAGCCCCCGGTGCGGCCACTGCGGCGGCCAGCATGAACGAACACGATGCCCACCGGGCATCAGAGCACACTGCCTGGATTGCGGTGGTGAACACGCCACCGGAGACCCACTATGTTCGAAGCCAGCCAGCGCTCCTAATCCACTATGTTAGAAAACAACCTCCGAATCCTACAGTTGAACATGATGAAATCGAGGGCGGGTATGGAAGCCCTTATCAACGATCACCAGAGCCAGAACCTAGACGTGCTTCTCATCCAGGAGCCACCTATTACGGCATACCAAACACATGTGAACCACAGTGCATGGCGGCTCTACCGGCCGACGGGAGGGAGCGACTCAGTCCGATTTCGAAGCCTTATCTACGTGAACCGAAAACTCTCAACGTCCTCTCACCGGCAACTGCCATGCAACCACCCGGACCTGACCGCCGTCAAAGTCTGGACCGCCGACACCCAAATCCTAATCTTCTCAATATACATCCCACCGGTGCCAATGTACACGCCCGAGGAAGCATCGGCGGCAACGGTACTATCAACTATCCAAAACACGATACAAACCACCCTCCAAGACGACAACAGAAGCTCTTGCATCACCCTCTCTGGAGATTTCAACCGACACCACCCAGCGTGGGGCAGCAACCACATTCAACCCCGATTCATCGAGGATGCAGGGGAGGTGATCGACTTCTTCCAAGGCAACGGCCTCCAAAGCTGCCTACCCCGGGGCACCCCGACCTTTTGGTCGCTGAGCCACCCCGGGCGAAACTCCACCATCGACCAAACCGTGACCGACAGACCCGACCTCCTCATTAAATGCCACCTCTACCACGAAAACTATGGCTCCGACCATCGAGCAACATACTCGGAATGGAACCTCCGAACACTGCGTGACGCCACCGTCAAAGGAAGAAAAGCATACGATCGAAGCGATTGGGAAAAGATTGGATGGGAGGTGTGGAGACACATGAGACCCTGGGAGTCCCCGACCACAATCGAGGCACTTGACGCCATGGTAGAAAAGCTCACAGAAGAAACTGCAAGAGCGGTCGACCGATATACTCCGGAACTGCGGCCGTCTCCTTACGCGAAGCGGTGGTTCACCGCCGATTTGAAGTCTCAACAAAAAGAGGTGAACTATGCTCGGCGCAGATGGCAAGAGAGCTGCGCGACGGTGGGACGGGATGACCTTTACACCATGGCGCTCTTCGAAGACATGCGCCAGAAGCGACGGACATGGACGCGAACAATTGAGAAAGCCAAGAATTCACATTGGAAACAGTTTCTCGACGAGGCGGGCGAAGGAAAGCTATGGAAAGCGGCAACGTACATGAAACCACGAGACTCTTGGGGCTGTATACCTGCCCTTAAGGGGTATGACCGAGAGGTGACCGATAACCAGGAGAAGGCTCAGGCCTTCATGGACTCGTTCTTCCCTCCTATGGCGCCCGCTGAAGAGGAATCTTCCATGGAAACCCCCGCTGAACTCCCGTGGCAACCGATCTCCGTAACTGAAGTCTACCGATCTCTAAAATCAGCAAAAGGGTTGTCAGCTCCAGGGGAAGACAGTCTCCCGATGCTGATCTGGAAACGTCTGTGGAAGCATCTGGGATACCTCATCACCAGGATCTTCGCATCATCGATCGAGCTAAGATACCACCCCCAAAGATGGCGGAGCGCCCGCATTGTTGTGCTACGGAAACCCGGGAAACCAGACTACTCTCTCCCAGGAGCCTATCGCCCAATTTCACTTCTAAACACACTCGGCAAACTGCTAGAGGCAGTGATGGCTAGGCGGCTAGCCTACCTCGCGGAGCACCACGGGCTTCTCCCAGACACTCAATTCGGGGGACGCCCGGGACGCACCACTGAGCAAGCCCTGCTAGTATTGACCAATGCAATCGACCGAGCGTGGCAGGGACAAAGGGTGATTACCTTGGTGGCCTTCGACCTGAAGGGAGCATTCAATGGGGTAAACCAGATAACCCTGGACGCCCGCCTCCAGTCCAAGGGAATCCCCACCGTTGCGCGGAGGTGGATTGCAAGCTTCATGAGTGAACGACAAGCAAACATCAAATTCGATGACTACAGTTCGGACGTGGCACCACTCCAGAATGCTGGACTGCCGCAAGGCTCCCCCTTATCGCCTATCCTCTTTGCATTTTTCAACTGCGACCTAGTCGACCAGCCTGTCGACTTCCACGGCGGAGCATCAGCCTTCATCGACGACTATTTCCGCTGGCGGATCGGCAAGTCCGCCGAAGAAAACTTAGCGAAAATCCAGTCCGAGGACATTCCACGGATCGAAGCATGGGCTCGGAAAACGGGGTCCAGCTTCGCAGCGGAGAAGACCGAACTCATCCACATCACCAGGAAGAGAAGCGAACAATGCAAAGGCCAGATCACCGTGAATGACATAGCCATCACACCGTCAACCACCGCCAAGCTCCTGGGTGTGATCTTCGACCACGAGCTACGGTGGAAAGAACACGTGCAACAGGTAGTCAAGCGAGCTACTAAAGTCAACATTGCACTGGGAGGACTACGACAACTCCGCCCGGAACAAATGCGTCAACTATATGAAGCGTGTGTTGCACCGATCATCGAATACGCTTCGACGGTCTGGCACGACCCGCTTCGGGACAAAACGCACCTTCGACACCTACGCACGGTGCAGCGAGCAGCGCTCATCCGGATTCTCTCTGCCTTTCGGACCGTGGCAACATCCACGCTCGAAGTCGAAGCACATGTGCTGCCAACCCATCTTCGACTGCGCCATCGCGCCCAGACCACCATCGCCAAACTCCATACGCTACCACGGAAGCACCCCATATGGGACACCTTGCGTCGCGCTCAGAGACGACGGAACAATATCAGGTCGTACGCGCGTTTCCCACTTGCAGAGGCCCTAAAAACAATGTCCTTAGAGAGATTACACGAGTTGGAAATGATCGATCCAACGCCTCTTCCTCCGTGGCGAACTGAGGCTTTCTCGAGCATTGAGATCGAACCAGATAGAGAGACCGCGTTAGAGCAGGCGAAGGCGGCACGATCTAGATCGGACGTCATCGTCTACTCGGACGCTTCGGGACGCCAAGGACACCTCGGCGCGGCAGCTATAGGATTCAACAAAAACTCACCGGAAGCAATCGAAAGCCTACAAATCCAGGTTGGCCCAATAGACCGATGGGCAGTACATGCGGCCGAACTGCTGGGGGTATTGTACGCAATCATTCTCATCAACAAGATCGCCGTCCAACGTCGAAGATCAATGGAGACGCGCGCAAAAACCGCGACCATCCTCAGCGATAGTATGTCAGCATTACAAGCAATCCAGAACCCAGGGAACAAGTCTGGACAACAGATCATCCACACCATCCTACGAACAGCCACGAACACTAAAACTCACGGCATCGCAGTTCGTTTACAGTGGGTACCCGGGCACTGCGACGAGCCCGGAAACGACACAGCAGATCGGCTGGCTAAGGAGGCGGCCATACCGGGCCAAGCCCACCCATTTTCCCCCTTGCTATCGCGAGAGAGGGCCGATATCAAGAACGGCATCTACGCCCAATGGGAAAGCGAATGGAAAGAATCTCGCAATGGCAGCCACCTTCGCAAGATCGACAATGCACTGCCAGCCAAATACACGAGACAGCTCTATGGAAACTTACCTCGAAACCGAGCGTACCTCTTGACACAGTTACGGACAGGACATTGCTGGTTATCAACATACGCCAAGTTGTTCCGCCATCGCGATGACGACCGGTGTGTCTGCGGCGCGCGGGAAAGTGTGACCCACGTCCTCCTAGACTGCCCCGCGCTGAGGCACCTACGCAGGGAACTGCGGGAGAAGGTTGGGGACGCATTCAACAACATATCAACTCTATTGGGAGTAGGAGGACCCAGAGGAGGCGACGCTGCTCCGCGAGCCAAGACAGTCGAGGCTACCCTGGACTTCGCAGAAGCATCACAACGGTTCCAAAGTCGCGCGCCATGAGGGCATCAATCCAAAATAACGGCTCTGAGGCCACGGCAGGCCCCAACGAGGCTCTAAGTTCGTTTAAGAAGTGACACAAGACACATGTACCTACATTGATATATAGTTGTGGTAGGCTGCATATCGCTTTGCGAGGGGTCAGCGTAAATGAATTACACACACACACACACATACTGTATTGCTTCGAGGAAAACTATCGGTAGCTACAGATAGAGATACCTCCGGACGGAATGAACCCTCAACTTCCAAATTCCAGGGTAGGCAGGAAGCCTTTCCCAGCCCTCCGCCGACCGTCCTCTATCTCCGGATCCGCGGCTCCGCCCCCCACTCCACCCGAACCACCTACCCCACAACGCACCACTAAGAAATTCTATATCTCGACCACCTATTCCACCATCGCAGCAAGAGCCCTGTCATTCCGTGGACAAGTCCTGAGTGGCGTCGCACCACTTCAGCTGGCCAAGAATGGCTTCTACTACGAGACCTTCTCCGGTGGTGGGCAGGCTTGCTGCTTTGCGTGTCAGTCAGCCAAACGCCTCAACAGCTTCACACACCTACCTTTTCAAATGATACAAGAACTACATAAAACGGACTGCATATGGAAGGTCATCTGCAGTGACTTGAAAGAACATCTCGACTCCACCGACATGCTCTCCTCTTCCACCGACATTACCCCTCCGCCTCACCAGTCAGCTCCGAGCCCCTTTCTCTCCTCGAAGAGCGAACAACCCAAGAAGACTACCGACGCTAGTACACAAACACAAGCCAACCCAGCACAAATTGTGCTTCCTACAGCAGAGGAATGCTCTAACGACCCTTACGCTCACCCGCCCTCTACTACAACCGACCCATCACGTTTACCTTCACCAACCCTCTCGCCTCAGCCTCCCCATCCGACACCAACCACTACTACCATACCCCTAAACCATCAGCCAAGCTATGCTTCGGTCCTCCAGCAACCCACCACGACTTCACCTCAACCGACTCCTACACCCCAAGAACCTGTCCCTCCCACTAGACCTATACTCACAATAGGAGATCTTCACCGCCGATTCTACAACAAACCATCACCTTTCCAAATCGAGTCGAAGACAAGGAAATTCTCAGCTAGTCAAATTAGCAACAAACCTGTGTCCGCAACAAAGTCGTTGTCCAAATTCCTGAATTCAGCATTGCCGGCATTTTCGCGCTTCTTAGCAGAGATGCAGCCAAATCCGAACACTCGTCGGTCTCATTCGCAAATTCATTATAGTCGCGCCATGCAGGCATCCTAGCACAATGAACGGCCCCAGGCCACGGCAGGCCCCAACGAGGCTCTAAGTTCGTTTAAGAAGAGGTATACGATACATGTACGTACATTGATTACATAGTTGTTGTATGCTGCATATCGCTTAGCGAGGGGTCAGCGTAAATGAAATCATCCATCCATCCATCCATACTGTATTGCTTCACCACAGATAAGCTCATTATTGGCTCAACAACAAACTCTTCTTCCTCTAGGCACCTAATTTGGACTAGTGGTTCTCCGAGTGCTGCTGAGAGAGAGGGCTAATTCATATCACATCGGAATTCATATCACATCGGCTTTCGGCTGAATTGATATTCCGAGCTCTGCCTCCCCCAAAGCTTTTAGTCCTACTAGCACCTCTTCTCTCAACTATTGCGAGTTATAGATATTGTTGATACTCAGTTGGTTAAAAATAATTTTTATCACTGTATTGGGATTATATGCACCCATCCTTTCAGTTGTGAGTTCAACTGAAGTTCAGCGGGACAAAATTAAAATGCGGGCTTAGTGCAAAGACTTGTTGAAGAGACATGATGTTGATGAACAATAAATGGCCTGCAACCAACGGTTAATTGGGAGTTGACCGGAAGTATAATCAATATTAACGACGCTTTCCACTACAATCAGTACAGTAGAATAAATGAGAATAATTACATAGTCTGTAAGACATCGACGAGTAGTACAAGGCCCATAGTTGTGAGAAACGAGGGCCAACAGCAAGCAAACTTGCAGCTGTTCGGTTGTCAGAAATGTGAGGATCGAAAAGAAAATCAAATAACTCATTTTCTTTTATTATAACTGAAAGAAGTAGGGTGTTTTTTGAATATTATTGGCTAGACAACTGTCTCCACTCCAATCCAGCGCATTTACCTAATACCTAGACACCCCCCAAGTCTACAGAAAAAATTCATTTCACCCAGGTTAGAGATGCCCTGGGCAAGCCCCGTGCCAAGCGTATTTCTGCCATATTTTCCAGGCCCCATTTCCACATCTTTTCCCGCCCTCATAACTTCACGCGAGCTTCTCATAATTCATGTACTGGCTTTTCCATACCTCCAATAGCCACTTTGTCGCGATCTGCTTTTTGCGAAACGAATTGGCTCCCATAAAAGTCCTCTAAGATAGAATCTCTAGCTATTGTGGGGATTGCCCGACCTTTTCGGTTAAGCGGATGACCGTTTTTCTCACTTTCCTTCAAATCATTGCCGAGATAGAGAAGGAAAGGGCGGGGTCTGATGGCAAGGGCAAAGGAGCCGAGTGAGACAGACAGCCTCCAATTGTCGTCATTCCCTTCCTCCTCGCCTAGAGCCGTAGGAAGCCCAGAATCAATATCCGCCACTTGATCAAAGTGTTTCCAAACTTCGGCGTGACGTGAGTTTGTAGACCATTTGATTTAAGACTGACCGCCACTGTTTAGTTGACGACCGAACTCTTCTCCCACCATTCGAGAAAATGTCTTTCCTGTTCTGGCTCGTACACAATCCAAATTTTTCTGCGTTGAGGTCCAACAAGTCTCAGCGCCACTGGCGGCCTTTGGGTGATGACATCTGAATATTTAAAGTCCGAGTCCAGGAACGCGTCTGACGATGGCTCAATGGATATAATAAGGGAGCCAAGTCTCGCTTTCAGGTGATATGCAGAGATAGTTCTCTACTGAATTGCTCAACGTAATGTTTGGCAAGGGATTCTAGGGTCGGAAGCCCACACTTTCTGGATGCGTGGTGAACTAGTATTCTCCCCCTGTGATTTCCTGCGGTGCCGTTATCTTGCGCAATCTAATCTTAGACGAATAGCAATTCAAGTTCCCTATCAGAGCTTCCGTGAAGCACTGAAGCATAAATTATATTGAGAGTTGGCGGTGGCAACCACCTAAAATCAACACATTATAAGCGCCGATCTCCTATCGCATGAAAAGCTATCGCCTGCTACACTCTCGCATCTTTAGATTTTTCAATATATTCATAACGTAAATAAGCCAACCGAGCTGAAGAAGAAACGCTCTGAGCATCCCATGCCCATCACCAATAGCAGCATTGATAGTGCCAATAGTTATGCCTATTTTCACATGCACGGAGCATGGAAGAGACTTCCGAGACCGTCATGCGGTGATTGAGCACATTCGAGGCTGTCATGTAAGCTTTATTAGGCACTCTGGTCGTCCTAGGGCCATGAACTCGCATAGACATACGTGCTATTGCTTGAGTGCGATTCGGGGACCTTCAACGATCACTGGAGCTACGATTCCGACAACGCCATGTGGGGACACCTTGCTCAATCTCACAATGATGTGTTTGATTCTATCATGTGGTGAAATATGGATTAAGTATGCTCCTGCAGCCGTGATTCATATTCGGAAAATTGATGTTCGCTCAAACTATAACGATGATAAAGAATAAAAGTGCCGAGTCAAGCAACGTACGTAGTCTTTATGGTAGTAGCACGCACTGTCCTTGAATGAGGATAGAAAGGATTACAATCGAGGGCTCATCTCATTTGACAATAGAAGATATTTTTCCAAAGATTTAAGCCTCTGCAACTTAATGCTGACTGATTTGCACTTTATCGAGCTGCAATCACCCCTTGGTATAGGCTTATCCATTGAGGAGAGCCAGACCCGGATATGCATCACAAGCCAAAGATTTTCATTTGTCAAGCTCCTACGAAAGTCCCTTAAAACCTAGAGTTACATACACCAAAATTCGGAATAGCTCGACACCCAATGCCTTGCCATGATAACGAAGCGGTAAATTATATGATGTCAATGACAATTATATGGAATTTTTCAAGTTGAAAACGGATTGGCTTTAGGGGTTTGTTTGGTTGCAACTTTAACACAAGAATTTATCGATCGACATTTCACACAGTGTATACTAAAGAATGATTCGTATTACCTAGCATAGTGAGCATGATCAGCTCTTGTCGTACTGTACCTCTTTGGCAATCTTTTCTTCTTCGCCTTCACTGTCTCTAAGCTCGCCAGCCCTTTCCGTATATTTGTCGAATTGCCGTTGAGGAAACCATGTGTCTTTGTTTTCATTCTCTTCGAGGTCATCCAAGAAGTTATCGGCTTCATCTTCCATGCCACCCACGATAAGATGCTGTGGTATATCTTTCATCTGAGTCGAAGGAGCAAATGTCGTGCGCCTGAGGTTTTCTACAACCTTGTTGCGAATCTGGTCCAGATATTCTTTTGTATTGGCGTTATCTAATGTGGAGGGGCAGAGAACACCTTCGTAATCAGAACTAAAGTACCGAGCTTCGTTAGCTTCATATCGGAATCTCTTAGTGAGCCGAAAGCACTTCGTTCTGCCTTGATGACATAGTTCCTCCCCCTGTGAATGTAACATAGCGTGATTTTTTCAACACTTGGCGGGTACTTGGCCTTCTTGCTGTAGGTGCATTTATTTACGATTGACTCCAGTCCCTGTGGATAGAAGGGCTTCTGCCCATTGAGAGGTCAGTGATTTCTTCCACACTAGACAGCCGGGTTCCGATCAGCATCGAATTGACCGGATCTCTGCCAACAGGATCGCAATGTTTGCCTTGCCGACGATTGATCCCGGTGTCACGCAAGGATTACGAGGGTTAGATTCATTGAAGGATCTAGCAATCTACAAGCACCTTTTCGACTGTATGTCACAAGGAAAAAAGGACTTCATGACGTCACAATTACAGCTCTATGTCTCCCTCCTTCTCCCCCTCTCCCTTCCTCTAGAAAAGGGTTCTTTTTTTGTATGTTTCGACGAAGAATAACTTATTTCTCATCATGGTCAAAATGAAGAAATCGTCTGCCCAGAGGAGAATACTTCACAATCACTCGGGGTCAGCAACGTTCCCCAATGAGGTGAAGGACAAGCGAATCCAGACAACCACGCCTGGAGAAGAGCTTCTTAATGCATTATCAAAGTAACTGGCGATCTTTGTGAGCCCTTTGAAGGATGCTGATTGGATTATAGGATGCGACTTGAGCCGAAATACAGCGATTTGACCATTCTGTGTTCGGATGAAGTTTATGCTGTGCACAAGTGTATAGTCTGTACTCGATCGGACTTTTTTGCCAAGGCCTGTGATGGTGGATTTCAAGTGAGATAGCAAGGTTGCGAGAAAAATACTCAACATCTTCCACTAATGCATAACAGGAAGCCTTGAAGGATGAGGTCAATTTACAAGAAGAGCCGGCTTTGGTTCACGAGATGATTGAATATTTCTACACATTGGACTACCTAGTGAACCAACCTCTCTCGCTGCCTGACAATCCTCAATCTAGCGAGGCTCCTTCTACCAACGCCTCGGAGGCCCAAAATGTTTCCGCGGATGAGGCTCTTGCTTGTCAACAACCAGAAGGGAGCGAGGATCAGGAAAATGCTAGTCAACCTGATGACGCACCTAGGAATCCACCTGCCACGTTTGATCCTTTATCCTTTCACATTCTAATGTATTCCCTTGCAGATCGAATGTTTATCGAAGGCTTAAAGGCTTTATCAAATCAAAAGGCTGAACGAGAGCTGATTGATCGGTTAGATGCAAACTCGTTTCCGCGCGCTATTTTTGAGATATATAACCCCACTCCTGCAGATGACCGAGGCCTACGAGATATGGCGGTGAAAGTGACCATGGACCACCTTACAATGTTGAGGAGCGGAGATGAAGGGGTTCCAGTGACTTTCAAGAACAGTTTGTTGAAAAGCGTTCCGCAATTTTGCTTTGACTTGCTCGTGGCAATTATGGATAACAAGATGTCAATTTGAAGTCTGTGAGGAAGAGCTAGTCACGCGGTAGCGAATCACTTTTGACCAGCTTTACTTGTTGGCGGATTGCGTTCTCGGGGTGAGTTCAATGGCTCTGTTGATCGAAAATGAGGTTGTACTGCAAGCAAGGCACTTTGAGTGCTGGAAGGTTGGATTTGCCCCAGACTTTTGAATGCAATCTGGAGATTTTGTCTGTGTTGAAGCAGCTCTTGAGACTTTATTCGTGCTATGTTTGAGGCGATGAGTCCAGCTGCACGTACAACTTCATCGATGGAACAAGTAGTGCGACTGGTCAATGCAAATAATAGGGTAATACCTTTGAGTACAAGACATTGCGCTTTACTTACTTTGAGATATCTTGTCTTTGAAAACCAGTGCGCTTCCCACCGCACGCAAAGTGTTACCTCCGATTGCACCCTATGTTTGTTCCATATTAATCTGGCATGTAGATGAGCCAATCAATTGTGGAAACTCAACAAATTCCAGCGCTTCACAAGGAGGTTGTCCAGAATTAAGTAAGTAAATGACGTAATTGGCGGTTAAAAAGGACGAAAAGGGGAGTGCTACCATCTTCGTGGGATGAGAGTGTGGGAGACTATCCGTTACTGCCAAATTTCTGGGCGCGATTAGCCGCCGCAGCCTCACGCGCGGTCCAAACCCTCGAAGCAGAGAATGTCAAATCGTGACCCTCAGAGGAATTCAGTTGACCATCTCATGGTACCCCGTAATAGGGTGAAGTAGTTATTGGAAATAGAACCAAACTCAACAATGCCTTTTACCGATGGGGTAGAGCGCATTCGGGGCTAGGTGGAAGGAAATAGGGTTCCGAAAGGAATAAAGGAATGCGAATATACAACTTAATCACATTCGCACTCCGCGAAAATGAATGTATGAATTTTTTATTCGCGCAAATAAACGTGTTTAGTTGGCTACTGTAGTAATAGTGTTCTTGTTGGGTTTACTGTCAAAAGTGGGAATCCCATCTACTTAACTTACAGTGACACCTCTGATATTTTAACACCCCCTAGACCCACACAGCCTTTATTACGTAATATACTGCCGTACAAAAACTCCGTAACTTGAAGTCATTGTGGATGCGACAAAGAAGACAGTCGTTCAATATATGCAGTATCTAGATGTGATGGTCCTGGATGGAGGCGCGGATGCAGTGGAGAGGTTTTCGCCTATTCCACACACGATAACATGAACCACCCAAGAATTGGAAGTGGATAATTACACTAATTTTGTACGCCTATACTCATCTCTCCCTGGTATGAATTCGAAGATAATAGTCCGAGGCGAGGAACAGACTGCACAGAGGTGATCGTTGTAGCAGCGATTTTGAGATAAGAAGATGCTCTACAGGTGCAAGTGCAAACTTAAGAGGGAAGGCACTACATGTAATGCCTTTTGGTATCACAGATTATGCCTCTTTAAATGTGCCGCCGAAATTCTTAATGATTACAGTCGGATCGTAGATCGAGGACAAGCTCCTAGGAAGTGCATCATCCGTTCTGGGAGTAAGCGCATTGTTCCTCGGAGTACCAATTATTCATTTTAAGAGCCATAGTGGTATCTGAAGAATGCCTCGTAGAGAAGAGTCAACCTTGGTTGTTCTTGCAATTCTCTATTCATCTAGAGACACTGTCCATCTCCGTTTATAATGAATGCCAAAAATTTCTGCATGCTACTGTTTTACATTCAGTAGCACTCCCAGGCAAACACACCTGGCAGCTGTACGACCGACTATCATGGAAAGAAGCGAGCGTGCTGGCTTAACTCCGAAGTGGCATGGCAAGACTCAATGGATGTCTCTATTGAATCAGCGTAGCAGACACGGACCAGTGTGCGTGGAGCACTTCCTATTTCGATGGCGAAAATGCACGGCGCACCGGACGGAACTACATCGGTCCGCCTGCTCTAAGTTATACATACTCAGGGGCTTGCTTATTAGTAAGCTCCTCTTCTGTAGATCCTTTCCCAAAACGGGCTCTAGTGGTAATCTACCACTGACAAATTCCAATCCCCCAAGCCTGGTCAATCTAATACCAATTTACTTGAGCGTGATCGTTTTCGCGGTCGGAGTAAAGAGAAGAAAGTTTCCTTAATTTATGGGACTTTTCTATCTCTGTCCTGATAGAATCAATAGGTATCCATGACAGTATTCTGATACCAACATGCACATCATCATTTTTGAAGAAACCGGTCACGCTCCTGTTGACGGCTCTCTTGGTGCTAGGAATATATATTTTGATCCTGGGCTCTCTTGCTCCCGGGAGCTCTTGAAGAATTTCTAGGGGCAGAGAGGCAGCCTCCAGGAGCCGCGTGGCCCTAGGAAACCTGTTATGGCTCCTGGGGTCTAAATCCGTCACCTCGAGGAATCAAAGCCACATTCCTGTTGACAACTTATTAATTCCTAGAGGCGTAAGTGGCGCTCCTGGGGCTATAGCTCAAACCTTTGGATATGACTCAATTGCGCAGATTTAGGCGCAGGATTGATGAACGTGTTGAGGGCTTTCCACGGATTCGAACCCAAAGTATGCTCCCAGGGGCTCTACAGCTCCTAGATCTAGGTGTTATATTCCCAGAGCTATTTTCCATTCAGTCAGGAGCATAGAGTTAAGGTCCCAGGAGCAGATTTCGTATTCCCAGAGCCTAGAATAGCCCTAGAAGCTAAAAAGCATTTCCTAGGGGTGGAAAGCTCGTAGAAACGCTTTGCGATCCTCAGAGCCGATGTTTTGATTTGCAGACACAATATTACAAGCACAAGATACATGGCTCACCACGAATCAGATCAGTTCCCTTAGAATTCTGGACCCCATTGTGGCATTAGACAGACACATTAGAGGGGATTTGATAAGTATTCAGTACTATCAACATAAAAGTCATTCAACACAGTCAAACTTTGCCTAGAATCCAACGACTCTAAGCGTTCTGTTAAAAGTCCGGTCATGGTGATGCTGGTGTAAATCTTGTGTCTTGTGGTGTTTATGAGTGGTGTATGTACCTCATGTTTTAATCCTCGCTGGTATGAACGTGCCAACAGATATATATTGAGCACAGCATTTCTTTTACATTCAAGCGAGGCCCGGAAAACACACAATTCATGTTGCGTAGTGATGAAAATGTGGGCACGATTGGTAAAATTGAAAAAATGAATCCCTTTCATTGCCTCAATATAGAAGACCGAATTTCAACATTGAGCCAACATTTTCAACTGACTCAACTTCACTGTTTTTCAACATGAGCAGCATTTTTGCTCGGCGGGCATCTTAAACAGCCCTGACGATGTCGCTGCAGATAGTTGCGGTATTAGAACCTGCCTCACTTAGGACAGGCATTGTGTGCCTCAACGTCTAGAATCGAGCAGAGCACTTACACGACTGGAGCTGAGGAGCCTATAAATACGTCCTCCTCCCCAAGCAACTGGTTCTGCAATACTTTTCCTTGGCTTCCAGAGTCGAGCAGGCCTTCCTTTTGAGGCACCAGATAAGTTCTTCCGTCTGACCATACTGGAATTTCAATGCACTGACACCTATGGTTACATCGTGGACCGCCAAGGAAGTGCGAATGAGAATGTGATTCCCACCAAGTTCACTTTGCTACAGTACCCGTGCCAGCCGATCAAGAAGCAGGTTTGGGTCAGCTGGTCACAGCTACGCAAACATCTACCATGACAGCCGGCCACTGTCCGCTGAATACATCGATGTAAAAGAGCTGTTTTCATACAGGCAAGTCCCAGCACGATACGGCCCAAATCCAGCCGACCCCATAGATGATACCAAATAATACTACGTGCATTCTTCCAAATTACACCAGCCACGGAGCCCCTTCCCGTGTCTTTATGCAGACCATGTGAGTCATGTGGTGTCCCGCCGATCAAAAGCTAATGATGGACAGGAAACCGTGATAAAACCGCAACTTGCGTCCGAACTAGCACTATGTCAGTGCTCCGCGAAGGGTCATGACTTACGCACCATTTTTGGCTCTCACACCGAACCATGTAGTGTGTCCTGCATGAGATACCGCCAACCAGGTCGCGAGCCAAGGATATGAGGAATCAATTCGAGGCGTTCGTCGTCCACGGTGAGGTGAGTGGAATATAGCGCCGGTTGCCGCGCCAAGTCCGATGCCTCGTCCTAAGTTTGTGCCAAGTTAGTGCCACAGACATGAAAATCACTGACATAATAATGCCATTGTAGCAGCCCATCACCAACTGCGGAAACTCTTGTCACGAGAAAAGCTATTCCCGCCAAGTCAGATATCACTGCGGGCCGACGCGCTCCATCGCGTCTCCACCTCAACCGCGATCGCACACTGAACGACGGTGTGTCTCTACAAGGAGTCCTCCAATACGACTGTACAATCATAAAACAGACAGATTTGTCGCCCGCGTTTTCCGTCTTGAAAGCCTGCCCTACACACCCAGTGTGGCTTTCCCAAACAAACTGATTGGATACAACGCGGCATATTGATGACAGCGTTGCACAAGAGACATGGGTATGACGACGATCCTGACTGACCGACTGTCTGAAGCATACCGTCGATCACCAGGGACGTCTTCATCAACAACGTAAAGTACATTGCCTCGTCCAACTGAATCAACACTGGCTGACTCTGATCTCATTACAGGGAACCCTCGGATTCCCATGAGTCGAATGCGAAGCGAGGAAATTGCGTGTCTGTTCGGCCTTGCCGGCACCATTACATGGCCTGTGTCTTCTACAAGACTACTGCTGGCACCAATGAGTCCCCAAATCGACCTTTGAGTCGATTAATCCATCGATCAGTTGGTATGCCTATCTGATGTAGACCCGAAGGAGTGCGTAGCAGTCTGTCTCTCGGAATATGAAGACCTACAGGGATAGCTGATAGCCTTGTGGCGTGGGTATTTGTTCCGCCTGATGGTATTGATACCTACTGCAGTAGATGCTGTCTGCAAACCCCGACTGAACTCCGTGATCGAGACGAGGCGATACCAAGACCATAAGGAGATTATGCAGGACAGATACCTGCACATCCAGCGAGGCATACGGTGATCATCTCAGCCTTGATGGGCCCTACAAATCGTCCGTGAAGCCGAAGGCATACGAACGTGGAGCCCAAATGCGGGTTCAGTCAAGCTCCGTCGACGCATGAACTTCGGAATATCCGACCCTTAAGTTCGAGAGGTAAATCATATGACTGCTCATCTCGTTCGGAAAGCTCACATTTTGCTCTACGTAGCGGCCATGAACTTCTCAAGGCTGCGGGGACAGACCCCGTTCTTTGTGAGAGGCGTTGCAGCGAATATTCTGGTTCAGCTTTAACGCGCCCTCGAGCCGGGGGGCGGGGTCCCCCAGAGACCCCCTTTATGGGGGTCGGCGAGGCAATTCCCAATTGCCGGGGGTGCCCCCCAAGGCGACGGGCAAGACTCTTATCCCAGCCCTTTGATTGTCACATCTCTTAAATCGCCCCCTCATTGGCGAATCTTATTCTTTTATTATTGAGATTCTGGTCCTATTCCATCTCGTCCATTTATATGGATCACCTCTTCTTGTCCATCGAGAACCCGTCGCTTACAGTACCGTATAATGTGCTCTTGGTCCGTGTAAGGGTTGGACGCCTTTCAATCACTTGTATGATACACGAAAGGTACTATCGCCTTCCTCCCTCAGTACGACGGCCGTCGTTGATGCTTGACGCTTTGATTCACTTCAAGGCTCTCCTTCGTGGCCACCACCACGGGATACTCAGGTCCTTTATGCCAATGCCTTCTGTGCCATGATACGGAAGAAATAGGTGTCAACCGGCGGTACAGCGAGCCCGTTCAGGAAGCTGATGAACTCAGACATAGCTCTCAGCCCATCCCAACAAACAACGTATCAGGCCACTCCAGTGTCTGCGGTGTCTCATTCCGTTGACTCCTCTGCACTGGGCATGCTGGCGGGAGCAAAGCATCGAGCAGGACGTCCAGCGTATAGGGCCTCGAATGTCGTTTGTGCTAGCGTGTTAGAGCGGCGGATTCTCTGATGAGGTATATCCTATAATCTTACTTCAATAGGGCTTGCAACGGAATTTGTCGGCAATGAAGCTAACACAATGAACGTCTGAGGCTCGCAACCAGGCCTTCGGCGTGTTAACCGTGCTCAGTGCACCCCATGGGTCAGCGTATCTTGCCCGTCGCCTTGGAGGGTACCCCCGGCAATTGGAAATTGCCTCGCCGACCCCCGTAAAGGGGGTCTCTGGGGGACCCCGCCCCCCGGCTCGAGGGCGCTTTGGAACGGAATCAGAGCATGCACTTGTGTGCGTTTCTTGTAGGATAAGGCCTCTCTGTACATTAAAATGAAACCTAGATGGCATACAGACGTGGTTCGTAAAGATTAAACGGCTAGGGACCCGCATCCTCGCAGCGGCGTGGGGACCAGAACATAAATCAATACTCTTGGCCTCACGTGTCACAGTCTGACTATGAGCTCAACTGGTATGGCCAATGGCGTGTAGGTCGTCTTCAAAGGCTGGTGCAGGAACCGGCGCTGCGTCATTTATCGGGCATCAGAGCTTCATAGCAGGCAGAGCGCGTAGCAGGTTGGTTAACTCGTATCCTCAGGTATTATAGTATACTCATGAAGGCAATCTCTGCGACTATTGACGAGGCTGGTTGACTATGTTCATGTCATACATGCGTAGTCTCAGCACGACATCAATGATATACATCCGCGTGTGCCCTCGGCTCCTTGCTAGTAGCCCATACATCAAAGAGCGACGCCCAGAAAATAGATATGAGAGCTGAGAATGGTATATGTAAAGCGGATGCACAGTACAAAATTTTCACTTCGAATACTTGCAGTAAAGAGTAGAGATGGATTTCATTAGGCATCAATTAAGATGTAATAAACTGTTCATTCATGAGAAACCTGACCACCTTCGCACACTGAACGACGGAGTCCTCCAATACAATTGTACAATGCTAACACAGGTAGGTTCGTCACCCGCGTTTTTTGTCCTGCGAACTTGCCCTGCGCACCAGTGTGGCTTTCTCGAACAAGCGGAGCGTGACGAATCTGCATGTGCGTTGATCACCAGTCCCTTCACCGCCCGATCACTGCACGTTTCACCACACCGGCATCAACGTCAACACGTCAACACGTCAACACGTCAACACACAAGCTCGAAATGTCTACTTTCACTTCACTGGCACAACAAAAATCCTACCGTAACAGCATCACAACACAACATCCCTATGTGTGCTACACCCGAATCATGCGATTTTACTTTGCAGCAAACGGATCATCGACTGCGGAAAAGACATACAGAGTGGGAATACGGGTCGCTAACGAGGAATCCCAGCTTAGATTAGTTGGTGATTGATTGTCTATGCTATGGTGCTTTGCAGCACGATACAGATTATGAAGATGTTGGGCAGGTCTTGGCTTCATCGAATGCTGTTGCAAATTCGAATACTAGTCTCTGACACCACGAAGAGGTGCCTGCACATGGTCAGAGGATCAGGACTGGCACAGCGGCGCCACGGGCCGCCTAAACAAGCACAAATTTGATAACGCAGGGCTCAAGGCTGCATGGAAGCTCAAGATTATACAGTCAGGGATCAAGGCTGTGAGGGCGCGCCTTTTTACACCCACGGGGCTCAGGGCAGCGAGGGAGCACACTCTTACAATCGCGGGGCTCAGGGCAACGAGGGAGCACATTTTTACCCTCGCGGGGCTCAGGGCAGCGAGGGAGCTCAAGATTATACAATCACAGGGCTCAAGGATGTGAGGGAAAACTTGGTATCGCAGCGCTCCCCTGCGAGGCATATTGTAAAACGTCTTTGTGTTTCGTAACTTCCTGTTTTGTAGCAAGGAAGCGTTCTTTTCACTTTTTGAATTAGCGATCTTATATATGATACCCCCTTTCGTTCTCATCCAGTCGATCCGAGTACTGTACAACAGAGCGAGTCATGAATTTACACCTGAAACTAAATTTTTCAAAATAGCACTGAATTTTCACTGGATTTGATTGGGTTCTTTCCTTCCTCCTTTCATTGTACGTCAGCGTTTACTCAGTTCCTCGATATGTATCTATGGCCACAATTACGGCGAAGGACATGACAAGAGCAAATTGAAGACGGAATGCGGGCAAGAGCTGATAAATTAGGAGATAAGTCTGTTTCTTCAACCACACGCTTGGTCGGGTCGGGAATGGATGACTGCATGGCTGCCGAGGCACCGAACGTAGGTGTTCCGGTGCATGGTGGCTCACCTTCGCGAAGAAGGTGGTCCATTTGGCCATTATGCTCCACAATGCTTCCTGGCTCAGGAAAGCGAATGTCCAAGTTCTCTTTCGTGATACAGCCATTGATATTAGCGACGAACATGGGTGGGAAAGTAGGCGTTTGCTTTTGTATGTCTTTGGGCTGTTGCGACGAGCCACTAGCCACGGTGATGGGAGCACAGTTCATATACATCTCACGAAGTCCAATGCGGTTGAACCATGTCCAAGCTAGGGTGTATTTCCCGGGCTGAACGCCTTCGGGGATTGCAAAATCGAGGTGAAGGCCATTGTCTGCAGTGGCGCCTCCGGCGAGTCTCTCTGCCTTTGTAGGACAACCTCCTTCATAGGACTTGATAACCTTCCATTTAGAATCTTTGGTTGGCTCACGGTCTTCGGTCAGGCTCAGTTGGCATGAGCCCCCACCGTGTGTCGCGCTTCCTTTGAACTTGATAGAATTCTCAGTGCCGATCTGATAGATTGTCTCCGTCGAAGGAGCCAAGAATGCATTTGTGCGAAGTTTGCAGGGGAAATCGCTGCCATGTTCAGCGAGAGGAGAGTTCTTAAGGGTGTCTTGACTGTATGGCTCTGGCGAAGTCATGATGAGATGTCCGCTGACCACGCATAAGACGATCATCTCCAACAGTAGAACATATCTAGTGAGCATCATAACGGTGCCAGTCTAGCTTGGTCTTCGCTTGATTGAGGCACTATTTGACCAATCAAATCCCACGTATTTTAAAGATCGAGAATCTTGGAAGCCGGGGAGACATTTCATATATAAAAGTATACAGCAAATCACAGAACCAAGACTAGGCGTTAATTAAAATCATTGTGAAAGAAGGCTGGTGTGATTAAATTAGGGTCTGGCTCAGAATAGTGACGTCACGTATAAGTGCTTCTTTAAATCCCATCAGCCAGATAGACGAATGAGTTGAAAGCGAATCAAGTTAAAATACGGCAGAAATAATATTAGAGGCACAATGCACAATAAGACCGATCCATAAGGTGGGAATACGTGTGCAATTTACGGTATTGTCGATAAAAGAGCGTTGCAAGCTTACAGTGCCGAAGATTACCATCTGATAGTTTAGACTACAGTATCAAGTTTAAACTTGAGGTGTGTTGCTGTGCGATCTGCTACAGACAGGAGACACTTCCGTCAATATTAGCAAGTGGATGTGTCAAGATCGTGCGGCGTTGTTCCGGGTCCCGAAACTCATACCAGAAAATGACGGACTAAGCTCACAAAGTATTCTGCTCCTAAAAGGTGGACTATTTTGAAGGTTCAACGGTTATTCACCAGAGTCAACTAAAGTAGCAGAAATGCATTGACTGCCACGCAGTATCATGACCAAAGAGTACAAATCTATCCGTGACAATTAGATATTAGTACCAGCTTTTGCTATAGACATATGTTTGAGATGCTGTTGAAATCGTGTGCGCTGAGGCAGTCAATGTACAATTAACGCAATTTTCTGCATCTTACTTGCTCGCATCTTGGTCACGACTTTGCCCAATACCGACGCGTGCGTCATTATGTCCTTTTCCTCCTAGATTGAGCTACAGTATAAGCTTTTATTACTCCAAATAATTTGCCAGCCGCTCCAATTCTCTTGATGCTGCTTCAAAACCCTGAAAATGCCCAGATCAGCTGGCAACATGTCTCGGACACATCAAAACCCCCCTTCCCCCGCTCTTGCCGGCTCCGACTTTCGCAGAGCTTCGTGTTCAGCATGATGACACAAAGTTCTCACCAGTCAAGCTGCCGACTGCAGGGACCAATCTTGTCTACTATCTGGACTCGCAGGTACTGCCAACCTGGTCCAACTTGGATGATAGCATACGAAGAGCTAGTCGCATTAATGTTGCTTCGCTGCAACATGGCAGTCGGGCAGAGCATGGAGTCATCCAGGTCTACTACTGCCCCTCAACTTCTCATCATCCCACACTTATCCCGGCCCGAGACCATGGCAATTCGGACTTCTGTCCTGGCCAGGAAGCAAACCATTGCCTTGAGTTGACCTCCATACTTTGCTTGCCACCAAGGATTTGTCAGCCACACCAAGTTCCATCGATCTCACCTTTCGATTTAGCTGAACGGCAGCCGGGGGCTGATTACTCGCCAACGCAGACTATCAACCCTGCACTGATATTTCCGAATCTTCCGACAAGTAGTTCCGACTTCTTGGGTCTTACAGGAAACCCTGACGCAAATGATGAAGCCAATACCATTCCCTCTCTTACCAGTATCTCCTTTGACCAGTCACCAGAGCAATGGCAGAAAACCCATGAGACCAACGTGGGTATGAAAGACCCTTCACAGCAAGACCTCAACGTCTATATCAAGCAGCCTAGGCATCTATCGAATGCAAAAGAACAGGAGCTTAATACGCACACGAGAAAATTCAAGTGCAAAATTATTGGCTGCACAATGGGCTTCAAGCGTCAGGATCACCTCGAGCGCCATTCAAGGAGTCATTCGAAGGAAAAGCCGTTTGTCTGCTGGGTACCTGGATGTCACCGTAGCTTTTCACGCCGCGACAATCTCAAAGCCCATTGTACGAAGACACATGCGAGACCCGGTGGTCGCAACCGCTATGTTGCTTCCCTCGACAAGATGAGTCCCGACTACGATCCAGAGTTCCGTGGTCCGCTGTCATTTGACGGGCGTCCGCTCTGATTTCAGCATCTACCAGCCCCTATCTGAGCTAAGCCTTGGCAATTACCGATTTCTACAATAACAGTAGACATTAACGGATTCTTTCAGATAGCAAGCGAACGAGGCTAAGTAGCTTGAGCTGATCCATTTATACCCGGTTAATCACGTTCTGATTGAGCTGGTGCCGTCCAAAAGTACATGATCCTGAGATTGTGACGATACTCGGGCCTCTCGCCCAATCATGATTCATTATTGTTTACCCGAAACATAGGAAAGAAGCTCAACGACAGCCTCACGAACAGTTAAATCAATGCCGCGTGGAGTTAGTGTCCTTTTGTAATACTATAATAATAAAGCGATACTTTCGTGAGATGATATATTAGATTATCAACGGGGATACCCGGTGAGACGGCCGACGGTGATGTCTCGTTGATCCCGATGAACCATCAACGATTCACGAAATCCACGTACATTAGCCCATTCTCTTTTCTGAATGATTGACTTTTGGCTTTTTGACTCTGCCTTATTAAATAATCATCGCGTACAGCTTTCTATATTTATTAAACAATCATTGGACTCGGTCACTTATATTAAACCTCCAGCAACTCTGCACTGTCAGTTCAGAAGCTCCTTTCACTTCCTCGCAACGACAGTACCCGGGTCCTTTTGATTCAGATGAATAAACTTAATCAAAATGGTTTGTGAGAATTGATTCTACGGCGTACTTGTGCTGACAATAGACTAGATGACGACTTCGATCTCGACCTTCACGCTATCTGGCGAGAGTCTTCTTGCATCCCGGCGCCACCGCCATGTCTTTGCGCGGATCACGAAAATCCAGGACCAGACTTTCAGAATGACTTGAATTCGGTATCACACAAGGGACAAGGATTCCGCCCGGTCGAATATCTCTTTCACCTCAACAACGATAACCAGCCGGGCTTCAAGTGGACAGGTCCAGACCCTCTGTCAGTCTCCACTCAACCTGAGGACCTTTTCCTTCACATGTCAGCATTCTTTATTTTTGAAGAGCTTTACTGGTTGGAGTTGAGGCTTGCAAAGATTCATCAATTTTCTGGTGAAACAGTGGGGGAGTACTTGTTCTTCTTGCCCCGTGTTGAAACAGCCATGGGTAATCTACGTCGGGTGCGAGGACAGATTCTGGACATCATATCCCTAGCCACTGTTGAAACAACTTCTCCCACCTTTGCTTTATCTCTATGGCCGCGCACAGAAGCGCTACCGTATTCCAGTCACTCTACCATTTCTCCACAGGCGACATTACCCACGATGCCATCCCTGGACCCTTCGTTCTTTGTACATAATATCCAAGAAAACTATAAATGATTGCGGTACTCTTGTGATAAAACTCGTGTTTCCAATGTCTGCCAGTAGTCACGTTCTTGCCATGGGCTTTGTACGACGTTCTCGAAATAAACACGACTGTGTCAAAAGATTGACGTTACATCACACTCAAGAAATACATACAGTTCAGTAGCATGATTCCCACTAGAGCCCCTACTCAGTTCTTTTGGCATCAACTAACATGCCCAGTCTACTTTTCGAGCATTGATTCCAACCGTTAAGCACGACCGTCAGTCGCTCCCGAGTTGATTCCCAAGCCTGCTCAAAAGACACCAGTCGTTGTCGCTGCTCATCAGCAGGAAGCTGAGGTACAACCCCCTCTTTGCTCAGGTCAATGCTGGCCTCCTTTGAAAGTTGCAGATTTTGATCAACGTCCTCGCCACGGAGGTGTCTAGGCACACATGAAGCCCATACACGTCGATGAAGCCCCACAGTTCGAGCCGCTTGAAAGCCCAGTTTCGCATCCTCGCGTTCAACGTTTGCTAGCGTTGTCAAGATGGGTTGAAATTGCTCGATCATCAGAGTTCCTTTCTGGCTGGTATCCAGCTGCGGGTAGAAATTTCTAGTGGTCAGCCACGAGATATAATACTGTATAGGATGCATCTGGCTTACCTGTCGTGGTTTGGGATCAGAAGCATCCTTTGGGTGGCTTTCATCAACCTGGATTGGAAGCCCACTCGGCTCATGATCTCCTTCACTGTTTTGGTCCTGTACGTTCCTTGCAGTATCCATTTTATGACAGGGGAAGAATCAGTTTTGATTTAATTTTGTTCAGGGGATGAAAGCCTCTCTTATAGTCTGCTTGGAGACACATAACGGCCTCGTTGGGGTTACGACAGAGATACGGGTATCAACGAACTCATTTATTTAAATGCTGGTGTTGGTTGAGCAAGCCTGTACCCTTGCTGATGGATGTGCTAAAATGCATTGGCTTGTTCCAGCAGCATTAAACATGTCCTGCGGCTTCGACAGCTTCAAACATTCAACGGGCAATTCCAGAAGCCTGACCAGCCGGTGAACAATTACATATTTCCAATCAGTCTGCACTCGTAACTGCTTGTTTCCAGTTGTCGGCAGCAAAATCCCACAGTAAGCCAGCCTCAAAGGCGGTGTCTGATCACCGTTTAATCAACGACCATCTCGCCTCAACTAGTCCTCTTCATCATTCATGTGTTTTGCCAACCATAAATTAGAGGCCATGTTGAAAAACATTCGGACACAGATGGTAGAATATTTTTTCGACAGAATTTGTTGAGGTCAGTTCAGCCACTGTTAAGGGCGAACAACAACTTTGCAGTCATCTAGCTCTACGGCTTTGTTGACACTTTCTGCTGTTTGTCTTGTCCATGTTGTTTCAAGAGGCCATCTCTTTGATACACTTTAGATCTCACATAATACACTGATCGACTCTCGATCAGTCATCGTCCTTGGGACCTTCTACCCCCTCCTTCTCTCGCCTCGCTTTTGACACGAGAATTCGGATTTATGCTTGGTCTGAGCGGAATATCACAAATGATAAAAGCTATGGTAACATTTTCGCAAAAACAAATATGCGGGACGGATATGTTTTCCCCAAGCGACACACCACTGCTCTACGGCGACAAAAGCGAGCAAAAATACCCGACCGAACACGTACCCATTGAACAGCCTAACTTGGAGTTCCCCCGGACTCAAACCTGTGAAGTTAGTCCTCAGGGCTGGACATACCAATTACTTACCAGCCAAAGCATTAATCATGGTCTTTTTTGTCGACACGGGGGTTGCTCAATGGACCCAGGCTCCAGCCATTGCGGATGGCGGCCTGTTCTCTGCTGGTTTCGATACCTACCTATTTCGGAGTCTGCTCCTGGCTACTCTGACATTGTACGGAATGTGTTCGGAACCTCCCCTTTGCCAGCCTCACAGAATACCAATGATCCCTGGCTAGAGCAGCCTGGAGGGCAGCACATTTTCCAGAATACGCAGGCTGTAGAGGCGGGCCAAGTCATTTCACAGGCATTCAATCCAATCTCCACCCAAGTTCCCTCCAACTTTGATCAGGGAGGTTTACAACACAGTACCCAAGGGCGGCATTTCAATTGCACAATTTCGGGATGCAAGCGCCAATTCAAACGCCAAAAAGGCTTGAGCCGTCACTTGACAAATCATTCAGGAGCGAAACCTCATGTTTGCTGGGTCCCTGGGTGCCAACGCAGATTTTCGCGACGCGACAGCCTCAATGCCCACTATCAAACACACGGCAAACGTGGGGGCCGCAATCGGTATGTGGCTACTCTAGATAAGACAGGAACCATGTATGACCCGGATTTCCGTGGCCAGCTAAGCCCTGAAGGGGGGCCACTTGACTATGCTGGCCATGAGTGATTCTGGCGCTCGAGATGTACGTGGCACTAAGTTTCAACTGTTCAACTTTATTCTATTAAAATGAGAATAACTAGCGTAGAGTAGAAAACAATGCAAATGTACGTCATCTTTATTATCTTGTTCTATGAATCTATTTCCCTTTTCAAACGCATATTGCCCTTCTGTGGATTTTTAGGAACCGATTCGATCAAGCGCTAGCTGAGGACCTCGAAAGAACTAGCAACAGTAGACGATAGCCCATAGATCGGTTCGACGTCAGCGTCAAAATGGTATATGGTATGGTCAAAAAGAATGAGGAATGTATAATTTGAGTTAATTTGGATCCGAGGGTCAACGACTTGGCCGGCGTGCATCCCTACTTTTTTTGATGTCACTGTCACATAGTCAAGCAATTCCTTCGGTTTTTGTTTCTATCCTATCCTCCAATGCCATCATTGGTCTTTCACATCGGAGTGTGAGTTGAGGTGGAATGTATCGTGAGAGGAAGGTTACTATCATAAATTGGCGCTATTCTTTGCCAACCCAGCTCAGGATATACCTTTGCTAGAGCCAACCATGTATATATATATCTCACGTTTCCAGTACGAACAAGCGACACGTGCTGAATGAATCAAATCCGAGAAATTCACGTAATAGTGGTCATGAGTAAAGCAGGTTTCGCACGGCCATTGTTTGGTTAGCGTTGTCCGCTGATCGATCTAGATCTACCTCCGAGCCCCGGCCCAGCAAGATCAGTGTATTTATCCGGCATCAGGCGGTGTATCCGATTCGACATTATTCACCGCCTGATGCCATGCACACCCTCCATGATTTTCTGCCGAACCCACTTTTTGTGATTGGCACTCTGGCCTCCAACCGCCGACCCATCGCCTTGCCAGGATTGTCTGATATCGACCAATGTTTCTCCTGAGAGCCGCGCGGACTGTTCAGAGACCGTATGTGCAACAGGAACGGGGGCCGGCGTCCAAGTGGGCTCAAAACTTGTACCAGCACTGCAAGATTCTGCTCGCTCCGAGGCTGTCATCCTGTCGGATTTTACATGGTCGAAAGGGTCATCGCCAGTCCACCAGTTGCCAGAGGGTTCAAGGTCCAGGTCAATTAACCGAACAGTACCCGTCATTCTGGGATGAACGACACGGCGAACTGCTGCGCGTAACGGGTTGCTTGCGCATACTAAGACCAGTCAGCGCTGGCATAATCCAAAGGGTATAAATAGTCATACCAGAAATCGCAGTTTTTCCGCCTCTACCGTCCATAAAACGTGCCAGCTCCTTTGTGATGTCAATGGGATG